CTCCAACTTGAGTAAAAACACTTTACAGTTAGGCGAAGCTCACCGGATCAACAATCCTCAACACAACAGCGTAATAAATATTGTATGCGGCAATGATCTTTAGCATCCGCTTGTAGCCCTTGACTTGGACCTGTTTTTCCGTGACGATTACATAGAGAAGAAATAAATTTGAGGCAACCCCGAGTCCGGCCACTGCATTAAAAGCATAGCCGTTATATTCACTGTCGCAGAACATCTGTAACGGGTTCAAAAAATGCGGAATAAAGTAAGGAAGTATAAGATTGATGAAAGTGGCGCTCAATTTGCCGGAAACGTGATGCGACTTAAAATGAAAACATACAGAAAAAAAATATAATGGATAATTTCCACTATTTCTAAAATTTTTGGCAGTAATTTAGCTTTTAATTTTAATTAGCTTTTAATTGGCATTTTTCTACTAATTTGGGCCAAAAATTGCTACAGTAATCAGACACAGAACGTGTAGTAAATTTGCGTGTATGGTTGGATTTTTCTTGCTTGATTTCACTTCGACAAACCGTCTGGTAAATACGTGAATGCTGCATCAATATACGGTAGAAAAAGAGAACTATGGTCTGGTAAGTCAGCTTTTTTTGCTGTTGGGATTTGGCACACCAACGCAGATTGGAACGCGACACGCGACGCAAGAGTGAATAGTTTCGACAATAATGCCGCGACAAACGCTAAAAAATGAAAACCCATACCACACCCCCACAAGGACAATTTATACCTATTTCTAGTACCGTACACCCATTCATATGGATTTTGCCGAAAACCCCTTTTCAACATCATTTTACATCATAAAATCCCTACGGGAAGCTATGCATCAGAAGTGCATCTGTTACGTTTTTTGTTACTTGATGTGGGGGCTGATGTACGATTCTACTGGGATTGCTCATCGTATATTTGGCTACGGTAGTTCTCCGGAGAACGCGAGAGAGACTGGGAGACGGAGAGAGAGAGAGAGAGAGAGAGAGAGAGAGAGAGAGAGTGAGAGAGAGTACGAGAGAGCTAGAGAGAGAGCTAGAGATATAGATGGTGAGAGACAGAGAAAAATTATATAAAATCCCTACAAAATTAACGCAGCCTAAAAATGACATTTGAGTTTCATTACCTTTGAGCCCAAAAAAAACTATCGTCCCGAATTTTGAGAAGGAACTGAACTTTCCGCCTCTCGATTATCCCGCGCGAATTGGGCTATAGAAGCGTGAAAATATTGGGCCGGGAAAGTGGCCTCTGGCCTTATTTTTGGCGGATAAATAAGTTCGTAGGCTAGTCAGAAAATTTCACACCAGGAATATAGGTTAACAAAACAGTGGAGAGAGTGTGTGAGAGAGCGAGAGGGAGCGAGAGGGAGCGAGACAGAGAGAGATAATGAGCAAAATACATGGAAAGTACGATGTAACTCAAAAGTTATTTGCATACAACTTTCAGATCGGACCGTCTTGAAAAACGGCCTGTTCGGAAAATATCCATGCCGGGCGTCTGACAAGTTTTCGCTACGTAATTTGCATACACACAAAAAAAAAATTTGACTCTACGAACTAATTTTTGCAGGAAATGGCTGCCCTTTTCAACATCCGCGACCCTAGTTTGGTTGCTTCACATCCCAGTAACTCTTTGGAAAACCTAGAGGTAGATGGAAATTTATGCAAATTAGGTTACGCCCTATTTTTCAGGATGGTGCTCTCCGTTCCACTACTGGACAAATTCCGCTCCGTCGTCCAGGGGCATGTTCTGGACGATCCGGTCGATCGGCTGAACTACCGTACCGCCGCACTCGTGTTGTCGTTTTTCGCGATTCTCGTCTCGGCTGAGCAGTAGGTTTTTCTCTCTCCCTTCTTGCTCTCATTCCCTCCCTCTCTCTCTCTCTCTCTCTCTCTCTCTCTCTCTCTCTCTCTCTCTCTCTCTCTCTTTCTTTCTCTCTCTCCTCGCTTTTTAAGGCCTTGTGAAGCCAAACTTTTTTTTATAGATTCGCGGGCTCACCTATCAAATGCTGGATGCCGCAAGAGTTCGGCGAGGGCTGGTCCCAGTACGTCCACCAGTACTGCTTCACCTCCAACACGTACTTTGTGCGCAACAACGACACCGACACGTTGGATTCAGATCATAGGGAACAGGTATCGCTGGTTCTCTCTCGCTCTCCCTCTCTCTCTCTCTCTCTCTCTCTCTCTCTCTCTCTCTCTCTCTCTCTTTCTCTCGCTCTTTTTTGATGTCTTGGCTTCCAGATCCCCCACATTGCCTACTACCAATGGGTGCCATTCATGTTGGCCGTCCAGGCCCTGTGCTTCTACCTGCCGAACTGGCTCTGGACCGCGTACGCGTCGGGGTTCAGTACGTTCTATATCAATTGGTGTGTAACGTACTCGATCAGGCATCGACTTGGCGAACTGCGTCGAGGGGGCGCTCAAGGCGAAGACGCTCTCCGGGGAGGCTAGGCAAAAGGAGGTGAGGATCGGGGCTTTAGAGAAATGCGTTTTTTTCGTCCAGATCGAGCTCGTCGCCATCACCGTCTCCGAGGGGCTCGGCCTGGGCGAGTCGAGGAACAGCCGCTACTTCCGGTTCCGGTAGATTTCAAATGGAGTGCTGAAGATGAGCTCCTTTCAGCCGCGATTACCTGTCGAACACGCTGACGTGGCTGTACATCGTCATGAAGTGCCTGTACGTCGTCAACATTGTCGCCCAGTTGTGCCTTCTCAATCGCTTCCTCGGCACGCAAAATCATCTGTTTTGGGGCTTCAATGTGAGTGGACGAGAGAAAGGGAGAGAAAGACAGAGAGAGAGAGAGAGAGAGAGACAAAGAGAGCAAGACCGAGAGAGAGAGAGAGAGATAGAGAGAGAGAGGGCGCGAGAAAGAGAGCGAGAAACGAGAGAGGGAGAGAGTGAGAGACAGAAGCAGAGAGAGAGAGAGAGAGAGAGAGAGAGAGAGCGAGAATCTCTGAAAATCTGTTTTTCCAGGTGTTCCGCTCCCTCCTCCAAGGCATGGAATGGGACCGCACCGGCCTGTTTCCACGCGTCACGTTCTGCGACCTACGTGTCCACCAATCCCACGGCACTCCCATGACGTATACGGTGCAATGTGTGCTGCCCCTCAACATGCTCAACGAGAAGCTGTTTGTGCTGATGTGGGCCATGCTCGCCCTCCTGCTCCCCATCACCACCCTGAACGCCATCTACGCCCTCGTCAAAGCGGCGCTCCCGCGGAATGGGACTTTGAATAAGTAAGTTTAGAAGGAGGTTGAGCTAGCAGAGATTTTTTGGAGCCGTATTATTTCAATAAAGCGGCATCAGGCTAGCAATGCTTTAAAAATCGGATTTTCATAGAGGATGGAAGTTTGCAAAGGATCTTTCGTGTTTTCGGGGGAGAATTTTTGTCTTGTTCGAGGGAATAGAAGGTATGCTATTATTACTATCATTATTAGCAAAATCTAATTTTTCCAAGCGGAGAAACAGGCTAAAAACCCTCGAAAATTCTGAAAATGTTGTCGAAAATGGCCATTTTTGGTCGAATCGATTTTTTTCGAATAAAAATATGTACAGTTCTTTCGTTTAGGAATAGGTGTTTAGAAACACTGAACAAAACAAAAATGTTATTTATATTGCAAAAGTATCTCGAGGGATTAGTCCAAAATTCGTCGACTTTTTTTCAGATGGCTCAAGCACGGGCCGGTGTACGAGCTGGGGCAGGTGCGCCGCTTCGCCAGCGAAGGGTTGCAGGGCGGTTGGTTTTTTTAGGATTTTCTGAACATAAAAACCCAAAAAATAAAAAGTAAGGGATTGTCTTGGTTTTAAGCTTGTCTAGGAGTCCACAAAAAATTTGATGTTCCAGACGGGATGCTGGTGCTCGGCTTCGTCGAGAACCACGCTGGGCTTGGCGTCACGCGCGAGGTGACCGGGAAATTGTGGGTTTCTTGATTTTTTGCAGGCATGGGCAAGCTAGCAGAGATCATTGAGGAAACAGCTTTAGCTTTAAAACGTCCTATTTAAATTATTGGTGTTTATGCATGAGCGGGGGGGAGTGTTTTCCGGTTGCTGGAATTTTTTGTAAGTCCAGAAATTTTTAGTAGCGTAATAATAAGGATTTTCATAGTGTTTTTAGTAAAATTGACTTTAATTTGAGGTAAAAATCTATCTAAAAAACGATCAAAATTTAAATGTAGAAATTTTGGCCAAAACCCGGTGGTTTTTGGCCTAAAAATCTATTTTTTTGTGGATTTTTTTGCTAAAAATTTGTTGACATTCTCTTCATAATAAACTCCTCCCCCCCCCCGATAATGCCACAGAACCTTTTATTTCTCCAGGATGGCCGAATTCTCTGCCGCCATCCAGCAGGGCACCGCCGAGATGACGCCCCTGCTCCCCGACGTGGTCAAAGATCCGCTCCCCGCGCGCGCGCCGCCGCGACGCCAACGAGTGCTGGCCAACTAGCAGAACAACGACACCACCACGACGATGATCACGACACACTACAAAGTACAAGAATCCAAACAACGCCCCCCCCCCCGACCCCATCGTTTCGTTTTTTCCGCATTTCCCTTTTCCACTTGCCCACTTCCCCCTCTCCGACTGGTATTTGCATGTCAGTGACTCGCTCTCGACTAGTCCAACTACTGTATTCTACCTCTTTTTTGTCTTGTAATTCCTTTTTCTTGACTGGCACGATCGATGGATAAAGTATCTGAACGGAATTTTGGGTCTTTGGAGTCGGATAACGCGAATCTATAACCTAAAAATTGCAGGATTCGATATTTCAGGAAAACGGTCCTGGGGTGTCACATTTTGATTTTTCCTATTGACACATATTGTATTTTTATAGTTATTTTGGTACTGGACTGTTAGCGGGGGGAAGGAGATTTTTATGTCCAATACGTCGTGATAATTTAAATTTATTTTTAGAGTTTTTAAATAAGTTTTGATGGCTAAGAAGTCATAAAGATTATCTCGATACGCAAGCGATAATTTTATTGGCGTGATAATAATCAGTTGTCGTTGCAGCGATCCTTCCAGCAGGTGCAAATCTCGAAATTCGCTAAATATCATACGAGCGGGCTCAATTTCTTCAAAATGTGCGACCGACCTCCTTTATGATCGCTGAACGACATGCAGCCCGGATGCATCCTCACCCACCTAGCCATGTCGTTCTCCTCTGCGCAACCCCGAGCCGTGGCGTTGATCGCTGAATTTTCAGTTATGAAATTGAAGCAAAAAAATGAGTGGCCAATGACGTAACCAACTTGGTTAAGACGAAATAAAAAACCCGAAACGAGCAATGCAAATTCAGAAACCCACCTCCCAGTTGTATCTTGGTGGTGACGCAGACTTTCCCAGCACATGTCGCGGTTTCGGGACCGGGCTATGTTTTTGTTAAGAAAATGAATAAATCGATGGAATCAAAGTTTGAAGCCCGGAAAAATAAGCAAAAGAATAAATAATTAAAAAAGATAGATCGATGCTCATTTACCCTGCCAAAAAAAAGACCGAAACCTCGAAAAATTCCAAAACACTCACGTTTTTGCAGTCTTTTCTAAAAAAAATTGTTGTGATATTTGGATGCTGCTATTTTCCAAACAAAAACAAACTATAAAAAATGAAAACTAACGTATTGGACTTACCCCGCAAACATTGGCGCCCATTGGCATGCGTAGCAACGACGGGTGTCGGCTTCAAAATAGTCTAATTATTTTAACGCCGATGTGGCAAGTATTGATGTAATCCGTCTGATGCGTACTTTTGAATGTTTTGGAGCTGTCGATATTTTCTACCGGTTTTAAAAGTTTATGTATCCTTACTGCTATCTTAGGCTTCTTTTTAACGTTCTTACCATCATCCGCAAAAACAAGCGCAAGGCCCAAGAATAAGGAAAGTAAGCCCAATACAGACATTCTTTGAAAGTTTCTTAAGAAGTGAACCATTTTCACCGTCCGACTTGTGAGTGAGCTTTTTCAATTCTGTCTTGAATCCGGAAGTGCTTTTTAAAAATCGGCGTTATATCGGCTAGACCGGGCAAGTTCTGCGTGTTCGTTTCCGAATTTTAAAAAGTAAACGAGCTAAAATTGCTTTTTGCCACTATTTTAAATGTTTATGTGTTGGAATCAGCAAACTTTGACGTCCGATAATTTTGTGTTTTTGGCGGTCAGATTGAATTCTTTTCAGATAGTATCGAATTTCAGCTTTATCAAAAAATGAACAACAGCTCCGGCAAATTTCCGGCTTATTTTTAGGGCACAGCTTTCCCGTTGCACAAGTCACTGTCGCACGCGCAGGCCATGATGGTCACTAAAAACAACGTACGTTAGTAAGTGATCGTTTGAAAACAAGTATATGTAGACATTTAGAACCGGAAGCGACCTACCAGGGCCGGCAGCAGTTTTGCACCCATTCCCCTGGTTGAGGGTGTTCTCAATGTGGGACTCAGCGTCCTCTGGCACGCACGAGCGGCGAAGGGCCACTGTAAGATCGTGATGATAGGATCAACATCGTTACTGTCAAAAAAAGGCTACCCATTTTTACCTCTAAAATTCGTTATTTATAAAATTAGCAGCGTCGATTTGCCAATACACATGGCCAAATTTGCCGAAAAACCGATGAAAGGTGAAAAAACTGAGACGTAAAAATTGAAATTTGAAAAATTTTTTTGCGGACCCTTTGTCGAGAGTATATTTAAACCCCCGGCACCGCCCCGCGAAAACAAATCAACGAACTTGCTCCATCATCGGGCCCGATTCCATACGTGCAGTATTTGTTGGATTCGCAGGTTGGTGTGTCGTCGTTAGTCTAGAAGGTTTAATTATCAAGTGTTTTTTAATTTAATTTAGTGAATTTGACAAATTCCCCAATTTTGACGTGGATCCCCCAATTTTTGACAAGACGCTGATGCCAAGGTTTTAGCCGCGTTAGCTGCCGGCCGGTATTTTGCATTTTTTGCACACTCGAAATTTGCGTAATTTTGGGCTACCGGTCTGGAAGATATACCAAGCTATTCCTCTCCTTGTAAGGATTATTTTGGTATACTTGATAACCCTGTAGCACAGAACAGAGCCGAGATACAAAGGTATCTGACGTTTAGCCCCCTCTAGTGTCCCACCCACCGATTTGCAATTGTCGTCGCCGTCATCAGCCAGCGAGCTAGAAAATCATGCAATAATTCGAATTTTTCAAGTCGAAAAAGAAACCGAGGAAAGCCAACGTCAAGTCGAAGATCCCGAGGTCGGCAAGAGCGAGAGTTTCTTGTAGACCGGCTCCCGGGATTAGCTTCTTGACGCAGGAGTAGCACTTGATGGCGCTCACTAAATCGAGATTCTCGAGTTAGGAAGAAGAAATGATATTTTTCGAACTTACCATCCGAGATCAAGGCAAGCAAAAGCGCGGAGCAGCAGATCAATTGGGACCTCAGCGACATCATTCTGAAAAGTGTCATCATACCAAGATGAGCACGAGACAGTGAGGGATAGAGAGAGCGAGAGTGAGAGCGAGAGCGAGGGTCAAAGAGGGAGAGAGGGACACAGCGAGAGCATGAGAGAGAAAGAGAAAGGGAAGAGAGCGAGAGAGATGAGAGAGATAAAGAGAGAGAGAGAGAGAGAGAGAGAGAGAGAGAGTTTCTGAATTCTTCCTCCGGTTCCTTGCTATATATACATCACGCTGCACCCACGCCCGACGTGGCCTTCCCGGTCTAGACGGGATCAACCCCGATTTTTCAGTGCTCCTGCTTAAAATATGCACCACATGATACGATTTCGGCGAACGGCGGTGCCGTTTATTTTTAGCGCTATTTAAATTTCGTTATTGATTTAAACATAAAATCTCGTATGGTCCTACGAATTTGGCTCGTGTTTTGCTCTTCACGAAAATCTTGATTTATGCCGTCTAGCACCGTAATCCACGTGTGAGGTCATGAGATTGTTTTTGCCTGACAAATTTATTAGTTACAGCAATCCATCCGCTATGCTTTGTTGCAGAGGCGCTCGGCGCAGACGCAGACATTCCATACTTAAACCAACATTATTTTTATAGCCAAAATATACATTTACCGTTTGATTGAGTCACCAACAATAAATTTGATGAAAATCACACGAACCTGCTGTTCTGTGGCAACCAACCGTCAGGTTGAACTTGGCCAAATTCCGCGACTCTACGGCAGTCGGGCACCCACGTGCAGTCACGTCTTATTGTAATCATGGAATTTTTTGCACGCTTTTCCCTACTTCCGGGGATGCTGACGGACGCGCAGGTTGTGGAGGATTCGCAGGTCGGAGTTGCGGATGTTGGCTGTAAGATGAGCTGTTCTCTGCCACCCTCGCTTTCTCTCTCTATCTCTCTATCTCTCTCTCGCCTCTCTCTCACTCTCTCCATTTCTCTCTCTCTCCCTTGATCTCTCTCTGTCTCCCGCTCTATTTTTCTCCCACTCTCTCATCTTTTTCTGCTTCTAATCCACCAACCTTCTCACACGAGGCGACCATTTTTGGAGCATTGGCACCGGTCCTGAAAATCATGAGCATCCATGATATACCACAAACAGCCACTGCACGTAAAAGTAGCAGTGTAGCAGTAAAGCGTAGTAAGCAGTATTAAGTAGTAGTAGTAATAAAACGCTGTACGATTACCATGTCTCATTCACCAGCAGCAGATTTTCAGGCTTCAATGCCCAGGCGCAGTGGTAGCATCTGATTGCGTGCGCTGAAATTGTCAAAAGGAGCCGATATGTGCTAAAGGTGCATTCTAAAGTGTGAGTTGCTATCATAATGTCTAAATTCAGAATGTCGGCATTTCAGAGTGTCGACATTTTCTAATCTCGAAACTTTTTGCATCGAGTTTGGGCGCCTTTTCCCGATTTTCGACATTTTTCGATCTCGTCAAATTCCGTATTTTTATAGAACAAAAAAGGTTTCTGTAAACTTACCATGCAAAACAAAGACCGCAGTCGCGAGGACGGCGACGAAAAGGACCGGAAGTCGATCGAAAAGCATTACCTGCAAGAGCAAGGTGCGCCGTATGACAAAAAAAATTACAAAACAGCACTATGTATCGATTCTGTTGTTTAAATTTGCTTCAACATATCCAATATGCTACACGCCGCAAAGCCCACGATTAAAAAATCACGAGCATGCTGCCGCGATCGAAATTCAAAAATTCTGACTAAACGAATAAATTGCGTGCAAATCCTGTTTTGGCTGTAACTTTTGTAGTGTACGCTATTCTTAGCTTAAATTAAATTCGCTAGTGTATTTTTAATGCCCTATCGAATGGCACCGTTTCCAAAATGTGCAAAACTAGATTAAATGACATATCGGTTTGTTGTTGGTAATGTAATGTATCACAGGTTTGGAACGATTTTATTGACCCTTTTGGTGACACCTTTTCGGGTTATTCCTTGTTGCAAAGGTCCGTGTTGCAGAAGCACATCCTCATCTCTAAATAAAGGTTGCCAATCGGAAAAATATCGTTCACAACATTAAACAAATGTACAAAATGGTGAAAATTATACCAAGCTCACGAACCTAACGCGTCGCCGCACGGCTTGGTTGAGGTTTTATCGGCGGTAATTCCCAGATCGGTCGCTTGCTTGGCGGTGGCGCAAAATCGTACGGTTTTATCTACACGATTTTCTAAATTGTGCACAATTTAGCCTACTTCCAGCCTGGCTCAGCGATATACAGGCCGGTGCACCGTCACAGGTTGGCGTCTCCGAAGTTGGCTAGAAATAAAAATGCGCTCTCTCGCTTCTCTCTCTCTCTCTCTACCCCTCTCTCTCTCTCTCTCTCTCTCTCTCTCTCTCTCTCTCTCTCTCTCTCTTTCTCTCTCTCACTCTCTAGCTCTCTCACTCACTCTCTTTCTCTCTCTATTTCTCTCTCACTCTCTAGCTCTCTCACCCTCTCGCTCTCTTTCTCTCACTCGCTCTCTTTCTCTCTCACTCTCACTCTCTCTCTCTCTTTCTGTCTACTCTCTCCCGTTCCCGCTCTGGCTCTCTCTCTAGGCCTCGTGCTCACTAGCCCTCTCTCTCGCTCACGCTTTCTCACTGACTCACTGACTCTGCTTCCCGCGTTCTATCCCTCTCTATCTATCTCTGGCTCTCTCTCTCTCGCTTCTCTTTCTCTCTCTCTCTCTCTCTCTCTCTCTCTCTCTCTCTCTTTCTCGCTCTTTTCTCCCTCTCTCTACCTCGCGATCTCTGTCACTCTCTGTATTTTTTCTCGCTCAATATTTTTCTCTCTCACTTTCTCTCGCACTCTGCCACTCTTTCTGTCTATTCTCTCCCGTTGCCGCTCCCGCTCTCTCTATGCCTCTTGCTCACTAGCTCTCTCTCGCTCACGCTTTCTCACTGACTCACTGACTCCGCTTCCCGCGTTCAATCCCTCTCTATCTCTCTCTGGCTCTCTCTCCTTCTCTCTCGCTCTCTCTATCTATCTCGCTCTCTCGCTCTTTCCGCTCACTCTCGCCATCACCGTACCTTCTCACAGGAGGTCGTAAAAGCGGGCATTTTCTCTCCGGGCCTATAAATCAATTTCTATTTTAAATTGGTATACTATTACTGGGTTTTGGCGATGTCAGCGATGTATTCAGGCTTAGTGGCCCACACGCAGGAATAGCATTTCATGGCGTTGGCTGAAATCAGCTTTAGGGATAAGGTGAAAAGCGATTAAGACTATTCTAGCTATCACAATCATTTTTTGTCGTTTTTGTTCGTTTTTGTTGTTCGTTTTTGTTTTTAAAATAAGTGACAGTCGCAGTAAAAGATTAATATTATTATATTATTATTATTTTATATTATTTATTGAAATAAATAGTAATTGGTGGCTAAAAGAGGTATTAACGGCCATGAAACCCCCGTCACTTACCATGGAGAACAAAAGCCCCAAGCATGAAGGTTGCGCAAAACATCAGGTGGAGACGATTGGACAGCATTACCTAACTGTAAAATTTACGAGAAAGGAATTCGTACAAAATACAAAAACTTCTGTTACGGTAGCGGGTACATCGCCCGAATTTTTACTTTTATAACGATGGTGGCCCTGTCCGCGCTTTCGCACATACGATTTTTACGGCTGTAAAATTCAAATTTTCGGGTTGGAAATGGAAAACGTGAGAGCAGAACTGTTTACGTTAAATTTTTTTAGCCGACGACAAAAAACCATTCTATTTTTATGTGTTACCAATTTTGCGTTTATATCTTTCCCGTTTAACTGAATGTGACAGAGATACATGTTTTTTAGGCGATGAAGCTTCTACTTGAAAGCCAACAAACCGGCATGTTGGAAAATTGAATCAGTCCCCTGATGAGCCCAAGGGACCGGATGCTCATGCTCAACCTTGACAAGGGTTGAGCCTTAAAGAGTTGTTTAGTCTCTGTTTTTCTAAACAACGTTTTACCTCATAAACAATTTTAATAAAGTTTTGCGGTTGTGCATAGTACAACGGTGGCATATGTGCGGTGGCTGCCAACGTTGGCATAGAACGACGAGATGCTTCAAATGACGCTGAAGCCCAATCCGGCTGTTTTTTGAACGGAACCACTAAAAATCACTCTATTTTAACAATTACGATCAATTTTTTTATTAACTGGAACAATAGAACAACGAGACGCTCCAATTGACGCTGAGCCGTTACAGGGCGGTGTTGCCCGGAATCGGAGAACAAAACCTTTTTTCTAAAACTACAAAATCCTCTAAAGAAAAACTTTTACGACATTTTTGAAGTTCGTAGTTTGTCTAAGTGAACGCGCCACTACACCTTACATATCGGATGAATTGATAAATGGCAATTTCTATACTTTTTGTATTTTTATCATTTAGTAACCTTTGTCATAATTGTTAATCCTCTAATTACCTAATCCTTCCACGCAATTCCGTTTTCTGATCGATAGACGGGGCGCCGCGAAAAAAACGGTTGCAAAAGCGTAGTCTGCCGCCTCGTTGTTTACCACTTCGGTCGACGTGCACCCAAAAGTGCAAGATTTTCTCCCCGGGCGGAACGGGCAACAACAACGTCTAGCCCCTGCTCTTTAGCCAGTCTAGTAGCCTCATAAAACCAGAATTCCCAGGAGGAACCCACGGCTATTGATCAACTTTCTTTCTCTGCCTTATTTTTTCCGTCTACTTCATTACCTTCATTCCAGTTGATGGCCTTTGTCGGCTATCTGGCCAGGAAAACGATGGGTCTGCCGTTAATTTTTGTGAGTTTTGTTTCGACTCAAGTTTTCAAAGTTTTTGGAGTTTTCCTTGTAGGATTAGTGGCTTAAAAAGATGATGAAAACTGATAAAGTCGAAGCTTTCATCAGGAAAGTCTAGCGCAAGAACATGAGACGTTATTGCCGTACTTTTCTGGCCTTTACTTGTCTTCTAGAGCGTTATCTAAAGTTGTCTAACGTAAATCGTCGAAACCTGGTGATTTTCGAGCTTTTCGACGCTTCAAAAAGGCTATTTTGGCCAGTTTTCGATAGTTTTTTGACATTTGGAAAAGGGTGACTATCCCAAACCAAATTTCCGGCCCTTTCAAACGTTCCAAACGTGCCCTTTTCTAAAATAAAGCCTAAAACAAATAAACACATTCACCGCCGGCCACGCAATACCCCAAAAAATTCTGCACTTTTCCTGGTTCCGCCGCTGTTTTCCTCGCAATTTCTGCGCCCATGCATGGGGCTGGGTGACAGCACCACGTAAACAACTGGTGAAATAGCGGGGGTTTTGAGGAGGCGCAGGTCGGCTAGCCGCCCTCTTGCCAACGCAAAATCGAAAAGGAAAAGCGAAGACCGGCGAACCACATTCAGACAAGGCCTTTGCCACATTCTCGCTGAAAACGATTCGGTTCCCTGAATTTTACTGAATATTCGGCTATATCCTAGCGTTTTTACAACTAAAAATGGCTAGTTCTGATACTGAGGTTTGTGCCTGAAGCTCGATTTTCTCAAAAAGATCCATAGTGTAGTATCGATAATGTATCATTAATGATCAAATCGGGTACTCTAAATTTTGTTAGTTTTTGGCCAAATTCTAGAATTTTTTAACCTAAAAAGGGTGATTTTTTGCCAAAATCCGTTCAAAAATCAGTAACTCCTTTCAGAACAAGCTTTAGCCCGGGTTTTTTTCACAAAAAAGCTCACAAAAATACTGATTAACGTTAAAATCGAGTGTTTGAGAAAGACGAAACTATTTTCAAAATCATCGAGAGAAAATGGAGCTATTTTTGCTGAATTTCTGGCCCATTGCTCACCCATGACGAAATGCCAGACATACGAAATGTTCCAAATAACGTTGGGCCACTAATTTTTTTTTCCATTTTTAGGTGGAAAGCGGCATCGAGGAGCGCGCCCTCGCCCAGCAAGCAAATCACGAATCGGCGCCCGAATTGAAGGTAAAAATTTCCGCTCGAGCCTTTCATTAATGTGCGTTCAGGGGAGCGACAAACACGGCTCGCTCAACGATATGCGGAAGCTCGGACAGGTTTTTTATTTTTGGTTTAGAAAACTGATTTTGTTTAGCAAAACCAGTACGACTCGGACAGCGAGGCCAGCGAGGCGGCATCCGACCTCAGCGCCAACACGTTCAACGACGGTGGAATGAGGTCAGTCGTGTTTTAACGTCTTTTTTCAGTTGAAATTAAAGCTTTTTTGTTTGAACTTTTTTATTTATAGAGTTATATCTAACTTTTCCTTATTTTCAGCCTATGGAACCAGTTCGGCCAAATGTTCTGGTCACAACCGCCGATGCGAAAATGCTCATTTGCGACAGGTTTGAAGGGTTTTTCACGCTACATCTTTTTTTAGGCCTGGACTATTGGGTACCAGAGGATTGCGAAAAAGTCGTCGCCTTCCCCACTGACGCCATAGAGCAATACACGAAGATTTACCCGATTCGTAAGTTAATTTACTATTTTAGGAACTAGCGAAAAATTAGAAGGTTTTTGCTAAAAATTCAATTTCTAGGCGGCTCCGATGCGACAAAGCACAGCTCGTTCAGCGTGTTAGTCGATGCTTCACCGTTTTCGAGAGCGCGCGACAAACAACCCCTGCATCATTTGGTTTGTTTTTCGGCCGGGCAGGGTTGGGGGATGTTTCATAGTTCTTTGCAGTCTCAGCAGCCAAAGATACTATGTTTTGCAAAAAAACAACTCGATAACTCTAATTGTCAGGTCCTCACCATCCACCCGAATGCCGGCCCGAGTATGGAGAACCGCGAGTTCAGCATCAGCTTGTTCCGGAGTAGAAAGGTTGGCTTTTTTGAGAATTCGCCAGCAAACTGTAGCGTACGAAACTCGTGGAACGATAAATTAAAATCAATTGTTTTTCCTCCAGGTAACCGACGTCGTGGCCCTGTGCGAGCGATGTCGCGAATGCCGGGCCCTGTTCAGATATTTTCCGAAGGGAAAAGGTATCGATCACTATTTTGGAATCCTAAATTTTACTTCTAGACAACACCATCTTCTACTACGTCAAACTGCTCGGGTACCTTCAAGTGAAGATGCTCTGGAAAGTCGAGCACATCGGCGCGCTCGTCGGCTGCAAGGAGTTCTTCGAGAACCAGCCCAGCAAGAAGTTGAAGAAGTACGGTTTTTAGGCTTTTAGCTAATTTTCTGGTTTTTAGAAATCTCAGTGCACACTGCTCCCCGGAAGGGCTGACCCCGTTGATGATCGCCATTCAGCAAAATGACGAAGACATGGTAATTTCGCTTTTCGTTCTTAAAAAAAATTGTGTTGAGGTATCCCTACTGATCCAAAAAGGCGCCGACCTGATGCAAACGACTCCAGAAGCCAACAACGTGCTCCACCTGGCCGCCACCGTCAGCCCGTCGATGCTCAACATCCTCTGGGACGCGCTGGGCGACAACAAGACTGTCCTGCTCGGCCACGTCAACCACGACGGCAGCAGCCCGCAGTACTTGGCGTTCACGTCGATGAACGCGAGGTGCCTATCGACGTTGCGCGGTTTTGCCAAGCAAGTCAACCCTGAAGCAACGCCCGAAAATCCGCTGATACAAGCCATGAAGTCGCCAAAGACGACCTTCCAGCATATTGATGCCATTCTGAAGGAGACGCCGGATGCCATCGACAAAACGGATCCGGTCACCGGAAATTCCGTGCTGCACATCTGCACCCACAAGAAGCCGCTCTCGGCGCTGATTGAAGTGCTGGGCGAGAAGCTGCCGGTCAACGCCCGAAATTCCCTGAATCAGACCCCGCTTCACGTGTATGTGCACAAGGACAACCTGGCGTTGGTCTTCACGATTTTGGGAGCAGAGGTATGCTAATTTTGACAGTTTTTTTGCAATGGCCCGTTTTTAGGTCGACATCAACGCCCAGGATGATGATGGAAATACGGCATTGCACTTGGCGACTTCGGTATATTTTTAAATTTTTTTGAACTGTGGTTAAAATTGTCTGCAAATTAAAATATTTATTTTCCTGCTATTATTGCCGATTTTTTTACTCCAATGGGTCTTTAAACGCTTTGTAATACTTTCTTAAACGTTTTCTTGTCTAAAAAGTAGTTTTTTAGCTACTGAACGTGACCATGGTGAGGACGCTGCTCTGCTTCGGCGCCAACCCCAACATCCACAATCTCCACGACGAGTCCCCGAGGCATCTGGCAGCGAAACATCGAGACGAGTACGGTTTTTCCATTTTTACAGCCGAATTTCCATCTCTCTAGAGCCGGCTCAATCGACATCCTGCGCTCGTTGATCATGTTCGGCGCGAAGAGTTGCGGTATCAAGAAATTGGGGTATTTTATGAAGTTTTCGATTATTTAATAAATTGCTCTAGATGTACCGTAGCCTGTGTACACAAGGACAACTACATCTCCGAGAAGACGTCGCCCGTCTCGAAGGAGAATAACAACCAGAATACTTCGTCGAACAGCTTGGCGAGCTTGGCGAGCACTAATGGCAATGGTACGCTTTTGTTGCACGGTAACCAACATTTAAAAAAATTGCCTTTGCCTAAAAAATAAAAAACTAAGTTTTTGTTTTAGAAAAGCCGAAAAACGACAAGGATAATGTGGAAAGTGACGTCGACAGCGCCAGGATCAACAAGTAAGCTTGTCGAAGCTTTTTTTGAAACTATTCCTCTTTAGCGCCGCCGCCACCGAGGCCTACGAGTTCGAGCTGGACGCCGATACGCACGACGTCAAGAATGCGTACGTCGAGCCGAACCCGCCGCGGAAGTTCCCGCAAGATGTAAGTTTTGTAGATTTTTCAATGGATTTTTGCCTTCAATTGACCGTTCAAATATCTTTTAGGCTGCCGTCCGCCGAATCAAAGCGCTGCTCACGCAACTGGCGGACAAGGAAAACTCGAATATCATCTCCGTACTGTCGTGCGATGGCGGCGGCATGAAGGGCATCATTATGGTGCAGGTAACTTTACTATCTAACGTCTCGAGCCTGCTGAACTCCTTGAACTCGTTGTTTCCAGATGCTCATCATCCTCCAGCGCTACCTCGACGCCCCGGTCCATACGTACTTTGACTGGGTGGCTGGCACGAGTACAGGCAGCTACGTTTCGGGAGCGCTAGCTAAAGGTATCGAACGCATAATTCTTCAAACTTCTCCAATTTCTAGGCTTCTCCCTGGCCCATATGCAGCGCTACTACCTGCGCACGAAGGACATACTCTTCACCACGTGGTCCCGGCCCTATAATACTTTACGGTTCGAGGCGCTGTGCAGAGATGCGCTGGGCGATGATCGGCTCAGCAAAGTGCCGTATCCAAAGTAAGAAAAAAAGTCGTTATTTATAGATTTTTAAATGAATTTTAAGAATAGAAATATATAATATTAATTTTTCGTTATTTGAATATCTTCGTTCTCCATGATTCTTTTTGATATCTAATGAAAATTCGTTAAATTTTAGGCTCGTCTTCACCACGACTCGCGCTGATACATTCCCGTGCCAGCTGGTCCTGCAGCGAAACTATCAGCTGCCAATCCCGTACAACGATAATTTGGATTTGGGATTTGACGATCCGGAAGGTTGGATTTTCATGGCGTAACTGGATCTCTCTCACTATCTCTCTCACTGCCTCTCTCCTTCTGTCTCTCTCTCTCTCTCTCTCTCTCTCTCTCTCTCTCTCTCTCTCTCTCTCCCTCGTTTTCGTCCTGATAAATCTGATAATTCTAGACACTCCCCTCTGGCTGGCCGCCCGCCGCTCCGCCGCCGCCCCCACCTACTTTGCGGCCTCGGAGGGCAAGTTCATCGACGGGGGCATGGTGGCGAACAACCCGAGCCTTGACCTGCTCAGCGAGGTCATCTTCTGGAATACAACGTGCCGAATGCAGGTATTGCAACATTTCCTTTCTCTAGTTTCCGTTTGTAGGCCCCCGAAGAAGCGCAGGCGCAGCCCAAATTCCAAGCCGCCAACGAGGTGCGCATCGGCTGCTTCCTGTCGCTGGGCACCGGTGAGCTTGCATTTCTTTTGAATTCTGATATTTTCTTTAATTTTAATTACTTTTTGAACAAATTTATTTTGATTTTGAAAATATTTTTAAATATCTTTTGTAATTTTAAATTTTGGTTGGGAAAATGATATTAGAATTTTTTGCGAAATGATGAAAGCTTAAGTTTTGTAAAACCCTCACGTTTTCATGCTGAATTTCCAGGCATCACTCCAGTCTCCCCGGTCGACCCGTCGCTGTTCGAGATGAGCGACACCCTGGGCATGCTCAGGGGCATAAAGAACTTGACGTTGATGGTGCTCGACCAGGCGACGGCCACTGAGGGAGCCCCGATCTCACGCTCACGTTCGTGGTGCCACTCGCTCAGGATTCCGTACTTCCGCCTGAATGCCCCGCTTTTCAAGTGCGTTTTTCGCTATCGGCATTTTTATACATTTTTTTTGAAGGTATCATCCTCTTAGAGTTTTCCTATTTCTAAGATATGCATGGTTTTTCAGGGATGTCATGCTCGACGCCTCGGACGATTCCGAGATTGCGCAGATGCTCTGGGATTGTGAAGTTTATGGCTATACACATAAGTACGTTTTCGGGCGCAACGAAACTTTTTTCGTTCGAATTGTAAGGCAATTTGCGATCTTAATTTCAAATTTTGTAAAATTTTTAGCTTTAACTGACTTTTAACTTTTTTAATAATAATCTGGAAATTCAAGAATAAAAATTCTAAGCTTAAGCAAAAGTAATCTTATCTCGCTGAATAGAGCTAAATCTGCTTTAAAAAATATCTACATTTTTCTAGATTGACGTCTTAATACATACTGTTTATTTCTGTTTCCAGGAAAGACTTCATCGAGCTGGCCAGCCTGCTGAAGGCGATCGGCACGAATAAGCACCGAAAGCAGCGTTTCGGCTCTGCCAAGGCCTCCGACTACTCGGAGGGCCGGAAGAAGCGACTCGCCGAGGAGCGCAAGGCCAAGAAGGAGGAGCAAGAGCAACCGGCCGTCTCCCCGGATTCCCCGCTGAACTCCCCGGACGCGCGGAATTCTAGCGCCTAAGTTTTTCCCCCTATTTATTACTCTCCCTTTTTAATTGTAAATTACCGTACCCTCCTTAGTCGTCAATTTTCTTTCCCCCCAGGCCAAATCATGAGCTTATGCATCTAGTCAAATTCTAGCTCCACCCAAATTTTCCCCCGACTTTGCGCTCGATTTGCAATCCCTCGTTTGATACGGCACGTTTTACTCTAACTATCGTAGTTTTTTGGGTGCTTGTGCATTATCGGGAAGGGGGGGCCATTAAATTTTTCTAACCCGAGTTAAACCAAATTTTTTGACGATTCCTAAAAAGCAAACAATATAGCTTTTTCGCCAAAACGGTGGATTTTCGATCAAATTTCGAATTTTTAAATTTGTTGGAGAAGCAAATTTGATGAAGTTTTACCAAAAACTATTAGATTATAGGATTTTCGCCGAATCCCCCGCCCCCGATACTGCACAAGCACCAGTTAAGTCCCCAATTTTCATTCGTGCTTGAATTGCCCCCTTAAAAAGCGCCATACTGGTCCCCTGCGAATGTCCGGTTGTGTGCCCGCAAAATGCACGAGTCGCTCTTTCTAGTATTGCAGCTTTATTTGTTCACAACATTTTTTGGTTTGGGATTTTCGGTTTTAGTCGCGACCCGTTTTAGTCACCGATATTTACAGTTTTGCCGAGTAATAAAGATCTCTGTTGGATTGGCGGAAATATGGGGGGAAAGTACGATATAATACGTAAGTACGATACGTATAATGGCCGATTATGCGGGAAGGTAGTTTTCAGTGGCGGGGGAAATAGTATAAAAACGGAATTTTACAAAGACGGGGTGTGGGTGGAAACTAATAAGTATAAATGCAATGTAGTAGCCAGGGAAACGAGCGTCAACCTCAAAAAGACACACTCCAATTTACCAACTCGGGAAAAGTTAATGTGCTTTTTGGAACGGCAGCGCGCGAGCAGTTTTTCTAGGCCAAAAGGCCACTAATTGAGCTTTCCACCCGAAAATAGCTGATTATCTCGAAAGCAGAAAATAGCATGATGTCACGCTCCTTTAAAAGATACAATTTTTTGGAGCAAAAGCGTACCAGCAAGCTTATGGTATTTCCTCCGGAAATAGCTAATGATGTCAAGCTCCAAAAACAGCCTCATCTCATGATTCCTTAAAAATGGCTAATTCGTCAAGGTAAATCAAGGGCAACATAAGGAAAAATCTGATCCTAACGACCCTGGATCGGGTTCCCTTTCGGGTCGCAAAACCCGGCATCGGCCATATTTCGTCGGTACATCAGCACGACGACGAATTGGACGATGGCAATCACGATGAGGATCGCGGCCATCACGATCACGCCATAGAGGCTGTACCCGGCGCCGAAGACGATTTGCGGGATGTTGGCGATCAGGCCCATGATCTAAAGGTGATTTTTATGATTATTTTGTTATTTTGAGCGTAGATTTTGTGACGATAGAATTGAGTCGTGCTCACCAAAAGCCGGAGGCTGAGTCGGAACACGCGACTAACTTGCCCTCGTTTGATAAAGACAATGGCAAAAATCGAAATTATCGTCCACACGATCACCGATACGGCCGACTTGATGAGGATGGTCAGCGAAAGACGCCGTTCTGCTGTTGAACTGAAATTTTGAGGTTTAAGCGATACTCTGGTTCTCTCTCGCTCTCCCCCTCTCGCTGTCTCTCTCTCTCTCTAACCTCCCGACGTCATCGTTGTGTATATCAACGTAAACCTTGATCACCACGCCCAGGTTGATCAAATCGACGATGATCAACAAGGCGAGAATGCCGCCGATTGCCATCTAAATTGCTTGCCTAAGTGCCTAGTTTCCTATTTCTTTAATTGTTTTAAATCCTCTGAAAGGGCTAAGCTACACAAAAATATATGGATTTTTCCGCGTACTGTCACTTACCATCGGCTTCCCAAAGAACGGGAACGCGTCCATAGACATCGTGCGGTAGATGAACAATTGGCCCCACTAGGCGCTAGCTGATACGTCTGTAAATGGACCCCAAATTCCGCGAAATTCTCAAATCAATTGTGGAAAAGCGGGTGGGCAAATAAACCCCCGTCGCAAGCCTTTGTCAATAGAAAAGCGAACCGCCATGGGGTCGGAGCCTAGGTATTTCAAGCGGGGGTGAAGCCGCCTGGTTGATACCGGGGATGAGGTGAATTACTGGGGGAGAGGATTGGAAAAAGTAGATGATCATAAATTGAAAAACAGTGCAGCTGGTTATTTGATCGTAAAGTCCAAAATCTAAAAATTTATCGATTTATCCAAAAATTAATTAAACCTAAAATGAACCCTTTTCTTGTAGCAGAAGAATTTTTCGGAGCTTCTTTTTCTTAAAAGAATGTTAAATTTACGAATTTACGATTTATCAAAGGTGTCAACTATAAGAATTCAGTAGTGGTGTCTGTCCGTCTGTCCGTCTGTCCGTCAGAAGCCAACTATAACTCGAAGGGGAAAGGAGGTAGAGCTTAGGTCTCTTCGGATTTGGATAGAGCGTAGTCTGAAACCCCTTAAATGATCAAAAAATTATGAAAAAGTTTTTGTTTAAATAAAAATAATTAACTTTGAAAGTGGCGCCTTAATAAAACGAGTGGGGGCCCTCTCCCCGGGAGGCCACGCCCCCCTTTCCCCGCCCCCTTCCCCAAGCTCTTTCCCGCGCCTTGATCGCTTTTTTCAGTTGTTTTAATACTTTTTAATTATTTTAACTCATTATTTAAATCCTTTAAAGTATCTAAGGCCATCACAAAGGGAGGGGGAGGGAGCGGAGGGGGTAGCCCGAAGTCCAGCCGCTTGCAGCGGCAAAGCCGCTGTAAGCGGCTGGTTATTTGAGAAAAAGTTTAGTTTTGGCTTTTTAACATTCTTGACTTTCCGCACTTCAAACGGGCTGACAATACATTTTAAAAAAGTATAAAAGGCTTGAAAAGAAAAACGCTTCTGCTGCTATTTAAAAATAAAAATTAGTTTGAATTTTTCGAATTTGTTAGGCGTTTTTTGCTTGCCATAGTTAATTTTAAAAAATGTTAGTAAGGTTTTTTGGTTTGGTATAGTACGGAATTTTTAAGGAAAAGCTAACTGTAACCGTTTTTTGTTGACCGTGGGATTTCGGTACGTGAAATAGCACATTTTGTGCAGAATTTTTCGCTGATTCCGAATCCGTTTTCAAAAGTTGCGGAACTCCTCAAGATAAAAAGTTACAGCCGGTTTTCTACCCCAAATGACCGAAAATTACAAACTTTAAAGCCTTATAAAAAACTCGTGGAACATTTTGTGGGATAAAATACAGCACTCCCAGGGGTAAAAAAACGTGTTCTTTCGAATGGGCTACCTCACGAACCCGTAGCTCAAAATTCACAAAATTTCAAAAATTGGCCATCCGGGGCATTAGTCCACCGAAAAACTTTTTTTCATGAATTTTGAGCTACGGGTTCGTGAGGTAGCCCATTCGAAAGAACACGTTTTTTTTACCCCTGGGAGTGCTGTATTTTATCCCACAAAATGTTCCACGAGTTTTTTATAAGGCTTTAAAGTTTGTAATTTTCGGTCATTTGGGGTAGAAAACCGGCTGTAACTTTTTATCTTGAGGAGTTCCGCAACTTTTGAAAACGGATTCGGAATCAGCGAAAAATTCTGCACAAAATGTGCTATCTCACGTATCGAAATCCCACGGTCAACAAAAAACGGTTACGGTAAGATGGATGAGATGGGGTTCCCATGAAAATAAGGTACCAGGTCTTTAAAACCAGGAGCCCCGGTCGAAGAAACATTTTCTTAGAAAACAGAAGCACAAAATGGCAGAGAAAAATCAGAATTTGCCAACAAAAATAGCAGGATTTAAATGGCATAATGTAATTCTCCTGGCGACCCGTGCGAAACCCTACGCGGGCCCGGCGGCACCAAAAGAACAAGGCCCACGCTGCTCGCTGGTTGGTCCAGCTCACTCCCACGGGCAAACGAGAGTAAATATAAGGGCCCGGCGACCACAGGTGGGCCCTCGCGCTGGGCGGGACCTCATGCTGATCTTGGGCCTCGTTTTTTGCGCTGCTAGGGAAACTCTAGTAGTGAGTCAACCGGCTATTTTGAAAGCCCCCGATGACGGCATTGGGTCATCACAGCGATCTTCACCTCCTGAATTCGTCAGGGGTCAGAAGCCAAGCCGATGAGTCGTCTGGGGTTATCAGCTTCATGTACGCTGCAGCAGTGGTAAATTGCTCACTGTGGGGCTTTGTGATTAGGGCAGGTGCGGGAATGGGAAAAGGCCAAAAAAATCCGGATCCCCTGAGAAGCCGCCAAACACCAACGAACTGGCAGCTGGAAATTGGTGATTACAGTAGGGGGATTCTTAAAATGAGAGCGAGAGCGCGAAACTTGGGTTTAGAGAGAAAGAAGGATATAGATGGCGAGAGAGAGAGAGTGAGAGTGAGAGAGAGAGAGAGAGAGAGAGAGAGAGAGAGAGAGAGAGAGAGAGAGAATAATAATCTAATACTCTCCCCAAAAATCAACGCCAGGTGAAAATATTATAAAAATCGGAGTCAGAGGGTTTCTATATTTTAAATGACCAAAAAAATTCAAGACAACCCTAAAACGCATTTTTCATTTTTTTTGCAATTTCCAGCCACAAAACTCCCTGCAAAGATTCTTTTATTCAAAAATCGCTCCACGAAACAACACCAACAAATGGACCCGCTATGAGAGAAAAAGAAACAAATAAAAACGAAGAAGACGAATAGATTACAAACCACAACAATTACGCTCCATAGTTCTGGAGCTGCTCATTTCCGCGCAAACGTCTTGTCCATGTAGCCGTGGTCGCGTTGCAAGTTCTTCTTGTTCGCGTTCAGCCGCTTCTCCACGGTCAGCGAGTCGTGCGCGCTGCTCACCATATCACTGAAAAATGAAAAATTAGAAAACAGCGGACAAGAGAAAAATTTTAAAAACGCGATCAAGCATGTACCGAATAAACGAAGCCGGCTTCCGCTGCGCGTCCTCTTCCTCCTCTTGCTGATCGCGCTCGGCGGCCTGCTTGATGTTGTCGTCACGCTTCTTGTAGTGCCAGTCGACGTTGGCCTGAAAGAATAAAATTCGAATTTACAATAAAAATAGGTTATTTTTAAATCACAGAATTCCATCGAGATTTTTAGACTCCCTGACCTGCATTTGCGCCAGCTTTTCGGCCTTCTCCTTCTCGCTGAGCTTCTTCCGCTCGGTGGGCCGCTGGTTTAGCTTCTCCTCCAGCTGCCGATTTGACCAGAACTTCGACACGTACTTGCCATCCGAAGGCCCGGCTTCCTCTTCTTCGCCCTTCTTTTTCACGTTCACCAGACCGAAACTAAAATGAAAATTTGTTAATTTTTAAAACTTTAAAATTTTAAACGTGGAAGATAGATATATTCTGATAAATCGCGAAAAAGTCAGTACCCGGAATACTTCTCCTTCTTTGCCGTCTCTTCCTTGTCATAGGCATCATCCGGGGAGCCGGGAGATCGTTTTACCTAAATCAAATATTTATGTCATTTTAGGGAGAGAGAGCGAGAGAGAAAGAGAGAGCGAACGAGCAATATTCAAAATTACCTCCAAAATATGAGTCGGGATTTCCATGCCATATCCTGGAGCCTCATCGCCAGAGCCCTCTTTTTCGGGCGAAGAAGCTGGCTCTTGCTTCACCGATTTTTCAGGGGTCGCGGGGCGTCGATCGGAATCCCTGGACAAGAAAATACAGCCCCAAAACCGGTTTCAAACCTCTTTGCACGCTTCGGTGACTTGGAGGCTGCTGAAGAGGAGCTGTCATGTCTGCGTCTCTTCGGCTTCTCTGGTGTACTGTCTCTGCGACGAGGGCGACTGGCTTCTGGGCTTCTTCTAAAACCATAAAATAAAATAATAACTAAAAAATAATATATAAAATAAAAAATGTTAAAAATATAAAAACGCTTTATAATTTGAAACATCTCCTACCTCTTCACCGGAGACCTGCTGCGGGCATCCGAAGAACTGTCGTGACGGCGTCGCTTCGGTTTTTCGATTGGGGATCTCGATCTCGGGCGACGGTCCCTGTCTCCATGGCCGCCATCCCGAGATCGATAGGCCTCTGGTGTTCGTTGGCGCCGAGGCGGGAACCTCGATTTCGACGAATCCGAATCGTGACGACGGCGCGGAGGGGCTTCGCGTCTTCTCGGAGACCGGGATCTTCTAGCAGGTTCCCTGCGATCGTCTCTTCTCCGAACTGGCGGAGAAGGGCGATGAGAACGACGATTTCTGCAAAAAAAATATTCATTTTAATCGATTAAAAACCTGGGAGGAGATCTTGAATCTGGTGAGCGGCTGTCGTGACGTCTTCTAGCAGGTCGGTCCCGCTCCTTTTCTGTCCTAGAATCTCTCCGCTCTGCTCGAGCCTTGGGTTCTGGCGATTTTTCTGGCCTAAAAACAGGTTTTTAGGCTGAAAACGACAAGCCTTACCTGTTTTTGGACTTCTCCTCCTCCGAGCTGCTATCGTGACGCCTTCTTTTCGATTTCTCAAGGACAATAAATTAATTTGTAAGGAAAATAATTTCGTACTTTCTCTGCCTCGCTTTCCTCGGAATCTGATGACGTTGCCTTCTTCTTATGCTTCTTCTTCTTCGATTTCTCATCGTCACTTGAATCCCGGCGAGACTTCTTGGCCTTTTTAATATCCTCCTCAGAATCCGAGTCATCGTCCGAGCCCTTCTTCTTTTTGTCCTTCTTCGACTTCTTTTCCTTCTTGCTCTTCTTCTAAAAACCCTATTTTCAAAAATTTGAGTATTTTACCTTCGAATTTCCCTCCATTTTCTCCATCATCATCTCCTTCAGCGCCTTCTCCATCTTCATGCGCATCACCGGATTCGCGAGCATTTCGCGCCGTTTGAGCTCAGCTGTTGCCTAAAATCCAAACTTGAATATAAAAAAAAAGTAAATTTACCTTCAAGTTGACGAGGGGATCTTCTTTGCGCACGATTGTTCGGTCAAGGCCATCAATCTAAACAAAATCATCCTTTTTAATTTAACCTTCCTAACCCATCCTCGTTGATAGCGCTCCTTCTTCGGGAATAGCCGATTCTTCGCGACAAGGTCGGCGCCCTAAAATGTATAATTTTTGACGCAAATCTTTATACCTCGTCTTTTTCCTGCACAACAGCATCCGAATATTTTGTGAAGTTTTTGTCAATCTAAAAGAGGCATACAACTTAAAAAATTACTGCTTACCCGCTTTCCCAGCAAATAATCCTCGCGATTCACGTCCGATTTGACGCCCTGGTACATCCAGCCGACATCCTTCTCTTCTTTTGGGTCAGCCATTGCTGGGTGACTAAAAAAATGATACTTTTAATAATGTATCTGGTGATATAAGTAATTTAAAAGATTTTAATAAACCGTCCAGACCTATTAGTGTTCGAAATATCCCCCTTTGGGCGACATCTGGCGCCTCGGCACGCCCGCTCCTTTGAAAAGGCACAACGAAACAGATATCCGCGCAAAAGATAAGCTTGCTAAAGTACAAAACTTGGTTTTTCACGATAAGAAAATGTTATAAATCTTTATCATCAAACAAAACAACCGCACACCCAAAAATCACAGGCCACTGAAAAAGGCACAACGTACAAAATTCAAAACTATCAAACTTTTTTAACGACAACAATCAAATTTCCTTGTTCACGGGTGAGGCTTTCGATTTGGCAGTTGCCAGCAGCAAGGCAAAGCGCTTCCAGCTCGCCCTCGTCGAAAACGTGGTAGAATCTGAAGCAAGAATTAAAAGATAATATATTTTTAGAAACCACACCTCAAATACGTCTTGCCGCGATTTTCCTTCACTCCCCCCTCAATTTGCCAGGGGACCAGGAGATCTTGCTGGGTGAAGACTTTTCCATCATGCACCTAAACACATTTTATTTCAGTAATTTAGAGATATTTACTGACTTTCAAACGACTGGCATCTTCTTTTTCTTTTGCCGCATCGGCAACTTCCGGTGCGACTTCTTCTGTTTTATTCTCGCGCATCTTTGCGTATTCAGAATCTAAAAACTGATAGATTCGGGTAGAGACATTCTCTTACCTGATTGATCCATGCTCCACACTGTAATACAAGCCCGGCCACGGATTCGGAGTAGAGCTAGGAGCTCGCGGACCATGTCTAGCCGCCTTTCCGCTGATGATAAATGATGAAGCACCTAAAACCACATTTTTCTAAAGACTACGAAACTTACGGCTATACAAACGACGGCATCTGCTCCAGTTCTAAAGGGCACGGCCAGCCCATTCCCTCTTGCCACCATACAGCCCTTTTTGAAAGCGATTTGGCACAGTCCCATGCATAAATCACAGCCAATCTAAAAAATAAAAATACGGAAGGTTCCGCGATTATAATGCCTTTAACAAATCATTTTTTCCGAGTAGATATTTCCCATTGCCACAGCCAACGTCGTAGACGGTAGAATAGGGGTCGAGTGAGGAAAGGAATCTGAAAATTTATTGTTTTCCTAGTTCTCTTTTCTTCTTTTTGTCTATAAAAATCCATTAAAAATGAGATGATACCGTTCCACCGCTTTCCATTGCGAGTGTCTTGTTTCATCAAAATGCGAGGCAATCTCTTCGTAGACGTCGGTTACGTAGGCCGACTCGAGTTGCCTGGCGGAATTTTCGCTTTTTGGGACGCTCATTTCACCTAGGAAAAAGTCAAATCTCATGTTTTCAATTGTTAAACTACCATCTCTATCCCAATCGCAGTACTCCTTCCATGCACATTGGCAAGGGATCGTTCGAATTTTCCGGAGCGTAATCGATATCCTCTTGGCTCGGGGGAATAATCGACCGGTTGTCGGGTTGATGTCGTATTTTCGATTGGCGATCCTACACTAATTTTTATAGCTTTTAAAATCAGCCAAACCCATGCTTCCATCGATATCGGCTTTCCCCTTGAATTATCGTCAAAGAATTGGTGGGCAGAAGGACGCTGAGGATGTTCGCGGAATTGGCGCCGTCTGAAATTCGCGATTTTACGGGGTTTTTTTTGTGAAATTTTAAAACATCATTTTGAAAAAATAAACAGGAAAACTGATAGAACCTTTCAAATTTTATATTTTTTACCTCTGAATTCCATGACAACGTCGCTCAACAGGCTGACCGAGAAAATCTGCTCCTCAAAAGCCGAGTGAGTGTCGTAGTGTGGCGGAATTCCTTGTCCAGGCTCGTACACGTTTACGGTAATCTAAATTCTGCAATTTTGAAAGGATGAAAAGTATCCGAACCTGGTCGGCCTTAAAATCTGTATATCCACGTATCCGCAGCTTCTCCACGAGGCTGGACAAGATTTCCGGAATCGGTGTGCAAGGCTAAAAAAAATCTCAAAACGTTTTTAAAAGGGAACCACTTACCTTGAACGACGTATTGCTCGAATAGTCAAACTCGTGCCCGTAGTGGAAGACGGAGCGGTTTTTCAGACGATTATCTAAGGAAAATATTGATAAAAAAAAGAAATTACTTTCTGGGTGATTCGTGACCAATTCTATCAAAGCGTCCTGCTCGTCTTTTTCCAGAAAATCCGAAATAATCTTCAGGCCGGCTGGTCCTTGACCGGAACTCGCATCTTCTGTTGTTGGCACTACACAAAAATACATATCTTATTGCTTTTCCTCACGATTTTTTACGTAAGTCATCACGAATGGTAGGTGAGACTTCTCGAGCAGCGGGTGAACAAAACCATTTAGATCCAGCAACGCCTTTTCAGCCTAAAAACGCGTCATTATTTTGTTTAAGTGAAAGTTACCTTCTCAATCTCACTGAATTCCACGAAAGAATACGCCCTCTTGTTCGGGAAGACGATAAACTGGGCGTCGTCGTCGAATTCGCCGAAAATCTTCTGCAGCTCTTCCAGTGAAACGCCACATAAAACGCTGCTGTTTGCGACGAAGAGGAACTAAAATTCCTAGTAAATTTTCGTTTGCAAAGCAACACTCAAAGCCCAGAAGCAGCTAGAAAATCGGTTCCAAACAACCTTTGTCGGCTCCTTTGACACCTCCACGCTCGGGTCATGGCGCTTCAGCTGCTCGAGGCTCTTGTAAAGCTTCTTGTTGATCTTCCCCGAATTTAGCCGCTCGCCTAGACGTCGTGGTTTCGCTTCATTGTAATCTGAAAAAAAGTATGTTAGTTGGGAAGGGGTTACGAAGGTTTTTTTAACGCTTGAACTTACACATTCCAAGGCGCCTTGATGATGTAATCGATCTTGAATATACTTCTTTGAATTCCAGACAGCAAAAGCTAAGAAAAAGTAATTTTTATTTATTAAAATTCGCAAGCAAAAAATCAGGACGATAAATGAATCCGCGGAGGGCACAAGATGCCGGTGTATGTGGTAGCGACGCGTACTCGCTAAATACAGTTGTTTGTTCGTTTTTGTAGCTTTGTCGGGTGCTTTTTGGGGAAAATAGTTAAATTAGAATTAAAATTAGCATCAGGGTAATTCGTAAGCTTTTTCCGGTAGGGAACATGACAAACACCTTGTCATTCTTCCACGATGGGTTGGGGGAACTGGTTCGGGCTGAAGAAAAAGGTGAGTTCTTTAGATTTACATGCAAAAATCTGGATATGCAGATTCGCAGCATCAAGTCGCTGCGCTCGCACACGGCCCGCGCCGTCGTCCCGGACGACCAGAAGATCCAGTACTACATCTACGGGATCACCGACGACGAGCTGGAGCTGTACAACGCCGAGCACTGCAAGGAGAACGTCGTCACGAAAGATGTGAGCAGTTTCTAAGGGTTTTCAACGAAATATCTTGTAAAAATATATTTTTAAGCTGAAAACTCCTAGGGGCCATAAAAATGTACGTTTTCAGGTTCCCCAAATGATCGGCAGGGTGCCGCTGCTCGACATCGACAAGTTTTTTGATGAAAGTAAGTGGAAATTCGTTGTTTTTGGTCGCTAAAACTAGAAAAATAACTTTGTTTTTGTGGATCGAAAACGTCAAAGCATTATTTAAAGCCTATTTTGTACAGCCTACGAAAACATGGAGGGCTTCGAGTGGCTGAGGTCGTTCGACACGTCGAAGGAGAAGAGCGACGATGGCACGCCGCGCATCATCGCCGTCTGGGACTCATTTACGGTTTGTTAACTAGTTTTTAAAAACTTATACATAACTAGCTTAAAAATTTATCAAACCATAGCAATTTAGATCCGCCACGAGCCGGTCGTCGAGGACAATGGCGGGCTGAAGTCGGCGCGCGACAACACCGAGTACACGAAAGACGATCCGGACGAGAGTCAGGATAAGAAAGGTGGCACTTATTTAGCGACTTGTTAAAAATAAAACTTGTAGGGTTATAACTGTAGTAAGTTCACAGCAGTTACGCTTAATAAAACAGACCTTGGTACTTTCCGGAGGCCGACTTTTTCCTATCAGCCTATAAATGATCACTCAAGTAATAGTACGTATTTTAATAATGTTTTTAGAAAGTAAAACCATATTTTGAGTGGAAAGACAATCGGAAATTTACAAACATTTTTTTAGGCGATTTTTGGACGCAAAACTACATTTTTTTGTACTTTTTAAGCAAGATTTGTAGTTTTTTGGTTTATGCATGATAAAAACCGTTTAAAAGCGATATTAGAAACAACTGTATCCCTACAAAATTCAAGTAAACAACATTTTTAGAAGCCAAGAAAACGGTGGACCGCCGCCCGACGGCCGAGCTGGGCGAGGAGACGGCGAACAGCGACCGGAAGGAGCAGGGCCCGGCCGCCGAACGCCCTACCAAGCATTCGGGCCGCGAGGGCAACTCGAAGGTCGAGAACAAGAGCCGCCAGTCCCACTCGAAGCCCAAGGAGAAGCCCGAGAAGCAGCCTAGGTCGGATCCGGGAAAGCAGCCACGATCGGACCCGCAAAAGTGGGCGGCTACAAGATACAACAGATTACATTACCTTACGCTAGAGTGTAAAAATATAGTCCATCTTCTAGTGAGGGCAAAGTCAAGGCCAACGCGCACCGCAGCGGCAAGACGCAGAACACGCAGAGGACGATGAAGTCGCCGAAGACGAGGAATGAGGTCGGAGAGAGAGCGAGAGAGAGATAGAGTGAAGAGAGGGAGAGAGAGAGTGAAAGAGAGGGAGAGAGAGATAGTGGGAGAGAGCGGGAGTAAGAGAGAGCGAGAGTGAGAGGGAGAGAGAGCAAGAGTGAGTGAGCGCGAGTGAGTGAGTGAGATCGAGGGACAAAGTGCGATAGAATGAGAGAGAATGAGAGAGAGAGAGAGCGCGAGATAAAAATTTTTTGAGATTTGATCATCCACTTTTTAGGAAGAAAACTACCACGATGGGCCGGCACCGACGCAGGAGGAGGGCGGCGATGAGGAGCCGCCATCTGACAAGCCGAGCGGAAAATAAACCTCGTCGCTTATTTGACTTATTTAATGCAAAAATCGTTTGCACATGATTTACTACACTCTTAATGTGATTTTATGTGTCCCTCCTCGCTATTGTTTGTTGTATTTCCAGTGTCTTTTTGCCCGAAGAGCGCAGAATAAATAATTCGGCGTGGTCCAAGCCACCAAAAATGTTTTTTTTTTCCTCAAGAATTTCAGCTAGCCGGCCCTCTTTTGAGAAAAATCCCGCAGAAAACACTGATCTCTAGCAACCTCCTTCCCTTCTGGAGCGGAGGCAGTGCTTTTGAGTTTTGATACAACCACAAATCTATTTATTTCTGCTAATCCGCACTAGGATGCCTGGAACGCATAAATCCAGAATTTCCGGAATCTCCGTGCTGTTTTCTTCGGAGCGATGTGGAATCTGAGATTTCAGAGAAGGAAAACTCAGTTTCTAGAATTTTTAAAGGTATGGTTGCGCTTCATATTTCTCTCTCTCCCTCTCTCTCTCTCTCTCTCTCTCTCTCTCTTTCTCTTTCCCTTTCTCTTTCTCTCTCACTCTTTCTCACTCACTATCTCTCTCACTGCTCTCAAATCATCTGTTTTCACCAAAAATTGCAAAGTGGAGGCCTCGAGCTCGTCGCATAAATTTTTCATTTTCCCCTTCGATCCCCGGATTTCGCTAAAATCCTGTGCCACTGAAAAATTCCCCGGCTTTCCGCTTCATTACTCATTACAGCCCCCCCCTCCCCCGGGGGCCCCCGACAACCTGAACTTCTCGCGGTTGGTGCTAGTCACCACCCGCCGTTCACTATCAATCGTAAAAACTTGACGATCACATTGCAAATTCGATTTTAGCGATAAAATTTCTCGCCCGTACTTTTACGGCGCAAATCCGTTTGTTGCCTGAGCTTTCGGCGTACTCCCCAGCACGCCAGGATTTTATTATATAACCAAGATAAATGACATTTTTAGAGGGGTTTTTTTGGGTCGCAAGGAATTATCGGGGGGTTGTGGGCCGAGTGGACAACCCGGAATGGGCCGTAATTTTATTTGCGCGCTGCCCCGGAAATTACATGCATGTAAGGCGAGGGCTAAAGGTCGGCCACGCCCATTTTTGCCGGCCCGGATTTTGTGCCCAGAGTGGAGTAATTTGGACTCTAGCGGAATCTGGAGATTTGAATTTAGTTGGGGTCTGCTTTACAGGGCTTCGGAAGGCAAGAATACATAGCTTTTTTTAAATTCCGTTTTTCCGTTGTAATTTTCCCCTTACAAAAAAAACAGCGAAATTTAGAGAATACTGAAATCCATCTATAAAAAATTTTGATTTAGCCTTTTTGCACAAAAAATGTATATTTAGCTTCAAAGTACCTTAAAAACTTTGAACTCTGTAGCATTGGAAGAATGAGTCATCAGGATTGTGCGCAAATTTTTTTAGTTCTAAATGCTTTTCCAAATTTTGCGTCGATAGGATTAAGTGGAACGGACCCAGATTTGCTGACGAAATTTCGCATGGCGTCTTTGATCTGCCCAGGTTATTTTTGAGGCTTTGTGACTTTTGTCGGGATTCCCTCTTTTGTGTCGTAGAATGCAAATCTTGGAACGATTATTGTTCCGAGGCGGGCGCATTTGGCAGAACTATGACTTTTTTGAATTTTCCAGCTTTACAAATTTTGCTAACTAAAACTGTTTATAACTAACCAACTTAACGAGATTGCTAATTCAAAAAGTACAGCTCCAGCAGCGCAGGTGCTTGTGAAATATACGCTCGAGTGACGTTACCCTATTTTGGATTCATAGTGAGCGTTCTAATCATTCTCCGCATTTTGAGAGCTATATCTCTCTTCCTCTGCTTTCTTGCTTTTCACGCTCTCTCTCTCTCTCTCTCTCTCTCTCTCTCTCTCTCTCTCTCTCCCTATCTCGCCATCTCTCATTCTCTCACTCTTTCCCATTGTCGATTTTTCAGTTTTTTATTTGAACCAATTTTCCTTTTTCTTGATTGTTTTTGCAATTTTTTCAAAAATATAGAAAACCTGATTTTAGTGAACGCAAAATGCGCGCCTTCTTGGTATGGTTGGCGCTTCTCTTGGCTTGCAGCCTTGCAGCAGATTCAGAGGAAGCAACCACGGAAGATCTGATCGCCCAGCTCTGCCCACTTTGCATGGTTCCCGTCGAGCCAGGTGTGCAGATCAAGCCGCAGAAGGATACGGTATTCAGGTGCGTAGCGTAGCGTACACAGGAAGTCTAGGAGCTTCCTAGCTTCTTCAAAAATTCGAAAAACATTTTTCGAAGTAATCACGCAAATTCGAGGTTACAGCACAAAAAAAACTGTTGTTTTTTTAGAAAGCAGAGACTTTATGTTGTGTTTTCATAGCTTTATTCATCAAAAATTAAATTAAAATCTATTTTTAAAGTGGTGCGTCGAATTATTTTTTAAAATTTTCGAAGTTACAATGTTAAATGAGCTACCGTAATCCTGGGGACATTCTCGGTGCAAGAATTACCTTTTTGGGTCTTGTGAAACTCAAGTTTTTTGGTCTACCGTAACCCCCGACTCCACCCGGCCATCACTTTCTGGGCGCCAATTCCAGGGACCGCAAAAACTTATGGGCTCCATTTATAGACTCTGAGCCGTTGGGCTTTGATCGCTTCGAAAAATCCCATTTTCTTGCAGCGGTTAATCGTTGGCTTTGTACGGGGATTCTGGCTATAATTAGTTCAAGATGGCGGTAGTACGATCGCTCGGTTTTTTTTACAAAACTATCGGTATTTTAAGCCGATTAGCGAAGATCGGGGTGTGTTTTAGAAAGCAGCTGCTTTTAAGAGGACCAAAAATCAACCCAAAAATTATTTAAAAATCGACGTTGTCGTTTTAACTAAACAATTCAAAAATTTTGAATCAAGGCGTATCCTGAATTTAATGAGATCAATCTGAAACAGCAAAAAATTAAAAATGAATTCTAAATTGGTCTAAAAATCCTCAAAAACCTAAACCTAAATTTAAAAATTTTATATTTCCAGCTCGGCCCTCGAAGCGAAGCCCAAGCACCACAAATTCAAGCGCTCCGCTCGGGCTCGGCGATTTTTGCATAAAATCCACAAGAAACCGATCGTAAAACCATCAAAATAATTTTTTTTGTTGTTGTGTGATTTCACGAGTAATTTTTAGCATTTGAAGAGACTTTCTATGGCAATAAAGATGTAGTTTAGACACGATTTGATTAAATAAATATGCCTCGAAACCAACGCTTTTTATTGACGTTCCAATATCGAAGACAGCTAAAAACGGCGTGGGCATTCCGCTGGTTTGACGCATGCTCCGGTTCTGTCATTCCGGATTCGTCCCCGAACGCACTGGCATCCGACGAAGCAGTCGGCGGTACACATCTGAATATAAAAATAATTGCAAATCAAATAGCCATAAGATAGCTTCCCTAAAATTTAAACTTTTGACTTAAAAAAACTTAAAAATCACCTCAATCACCGGGTTTTGGCAAGTCGGCTCGCAGCTCTTGCCACACTCGACGAACTGCTCGAACGGCTTGCAGCCTGGATCAAAAAAAGCTAAGTCGAAAAAAGAAACTACACTATAATTTTGTAAATTTTCGTTCGTTTATAAGCGGAGTAAGTTCATCAAAGTTTACCTCTTCCATCAACGCCGCAGAAAACCACAATAAAAACGGCGAGGAGGATCAGTTTCATAGCACGGTAGTACTGGGACTGTATCTCGAAGAGAAAAGGCAATAATTGAGCAAATGGTCGTGGTATCAACACGTTCGGCGGGCCATTCTCTTTTTCTCTTCTTTCACGGTCCTGATTGATAGGTGTTCATCTTTTACAGGCGATCCCAGAAACCCAAAAATGGCCTCGAGATCATCAAAAGTGAACTGAAAATAATGAGCTTTCTCTAAGCAAGATTTAATGCGATACTTTATAACGCTATTACGACATTAGAGAATATGTAAAGAAAACGATAATCTGTTATTTTCTTATCCCTCGCACAAACTACGGTATTGGATTTTTAACGGGGGATGGCAAGTCGCTTTTTGTTTTCCTGCCTGTATACCCACCTCTTAATAGCATAATGCTCAATTTTTATAATGTTTAGGTTTTTTACTTTAGGAGGCAATAAAAATCTTTTCAAAAAATCATGAACTTTGAAAATTTTGTCATTTTTTGGTAATTTTGAAAACTTAATTAAATAAAGTAAAACAAATTTTAATGTTTTTTTTGTACCTGAAAATGGTATAAAATGCTATAAAATGGTCTATATTTCGTTGTTGTTCTCAAAAACGCAGATTGACATGCATTTAAATAATGACAACTGCTTGGCACGATTTATTAAATTCACTGAAAGCTCGATAGCTAGGTACACTATATACATTAACCTTAAATTGCACTTTTTATACAGTATTCATCGGCGGGTCGACGACGATCGGCATTCGGGAGAAGCGCGGCGGCTGGACGGTGCCCGGGGTCATCGGCATCCTGGGGCAATCCTCCTTTTTGATGCATTGCGGCACGAATCCAAAGCGGACGTAGCCCTCCTTGCACTTGCAGCCCTGGTAGCACTCCATCGTGCAGATCGTCGGAATCGGTTGTTGGCAAGTACCCTCGCAGCGAGAAGCGCATGGTCCCACCCAGGTCTCGTTCACGCCGCAGTCTGAATGGGATAGATGTTACTTTTCTGGGGTTTAAAGGCCTTAGAAAGCGCGTGTATCGACCCTTTTTGTCACTAAGTGACGACAGCTACGCGACACTCCAAAACACTCCAAAAGACATAGTTTTGATATCTTCTCGCGACGTGACTTGGGAACTCGATTTCGGTTCTACCCGCGTATAGTGGCGCAAAACGTAGCTGTCGAGACCTAACCAATGCGGGGGTTGAATTTAGAGCTTCCCGTTCCCTTTAAAGCGATTCCTGATATCGACTCGGTTAAATTTTGACTTCTGAATCAGACGGTAACTTCACGGATGAAGGTGGTTTTGATGGTGAAGACCAGCTAGCAGTGATTTTTGAGGAATCCGTAAAATTTTTAGGAACTTCGGTCCTAGTTTACCCAAAACGTTATTAATTTAACCCCAAAATTTGGAAGTGATTGTTAAAAATTGAAATTACTAATAATACGAAAATATTACCATTTTAAATGAGCTTTTGCTCCAATTCTTTTTTATTTGGAAGAGGGGACGAAATTTTTGGTTCGCCTAGCGCCTAGTTTCGCGCGGGGCAGGCAAGCCGAGATCTTTGTGGAAATGTACCCAAGAATTATCGCGCTTTGGGGATTCAGCTTAAAAATACTGTTCTACAAATTTTTAATTAGAAAAACCCACTTTTCCCACTTCCAGTCGATCCCCAACCTCCGGAAAGCGTCGACATTCGTGGTCCCCTCGTCCTCATCTCCTCACTGCTCCCAGATTCCGGGGAGCCTTGAGCAAAGACGTATACTGTAGCCAGGGCAAGGAATAGAACACACTTCATCGTAAAGTTTCTGATGATACTCACCCAAAAGTGTCAGCTCTTTTATACCGGCTTCACCCGGGCGTAGGTGACCAAAAATAGGCCATTTACCCCGGACTAACAACAGCAGTGCACACAACGAATTTCGAGCCCCAGCCTCGCCCCGGCTCATTTTTGTGCTCTGCCCTTTTTCGTATGTTTTTGGGGGTTGACGCGGCGTTTCCAGTGATCACCGGTCAACACTGACTCACAAGCCTGATCATGGCGCGACCGAAATATTTTATTATTCTAATCCTCCGCATCATGGTTTTGAAATGGCGCTGTTTACGGCACTTTTAAAGGTCCGTTTGGACAGCTTTCGGCTCGCTACACGTACCTTCGGCAAACAAAATATTAAGGTGAAAAGCTGAAAGTTCGGCTTCAAACATCATTTTTTATTCTATTTTAGATTTTTCGTAAATAACTGGGAAAAACGAAGCGCTAACTGCACAAAAGCTGCTAAGAACCATCTACCGGTAACGGGTAAGGGTTTCTGAAGCTTTGAGCCAAAAAGCAAAAAAAAATTCTCCCCGGCCGGGAATTGAACCCGGGTCTCGCATGTGACAGACGCGGATACTAACCACTATACTACCGAGGACACGTTCATTGATCGGGGGTAGGCGTTTGATAAAGGGTTGGTGGCGAATTGGCGCGCAGTAGATGTGAAGCCGATAAATCATAACCAACCTTTCTTTTTCACGAAAAATCTCTCTTTTGCCTCTATCCTGTCAGGCGCCTCAAAGCCTAAATTTCCACCAGTTTCGAGATGGCTTCCGCTTTCCCAAATGCCAATTTTGATGTCAAAACTTTAGCTACCGGACGTGTAATGTATCTTCTGCAATGAAAATCTGTATTCAGCACGAAAAATGTCCAATCAACATAGAAAATTCACAAGCAATGAAAGCACAGCAATGTGGTGGGAAGATAATCACAGGAAAACGTAATGGTATACAACAAAGTAATTAGAAAATGGCAGATGGCGCTTCATTCGACGTGCAGCTGCCAGCTGGTGCGCAGGCGATTCGGGTTCATCTGGAAAAAGGGGATTGTAAAAAGAAACCCAGAAAAATTCGGAAAAAGGTTGTAAAAAATGCTAAAATCGCGTCTTATCACCAAGCTAAGCTAGCTGACATTCGAAATTTCGATAAATTTGAGAGGTTTTAAAAATTACCAAAGCATAGTGATCACGGCTCCTCTTGACAACATATTCGCGGGAGAGCTCCTCGTGGTCGGGCAGCAAATTCGTCGACTTGTTCGTGTTGAAGAAGGTCCAGTGGTGGAAGATGAGGTACAGCAGCGACGGGTCGGGCATCTAAAAATCAAAAATAGTTGTAAAAAAGGGTAAAAAAAACCTTGCTCAACATGCCGCTGACGTCGAAGACCTTGTTAACCGCGAGCAGCAGCCAGCCGATCGCGAGGTAGATGTAGTAGAGCGGCAAGAACGGCAGTTGGTAGCTGGAGATCGGGCGTTTCGGGTTCTAAAATTTCGAGGTAATAAAAGGCGACGAAAAAACCTTTGCCACCGCCTCGATCACGTTGTCGTAGGCATCACCTACCGCAGTATCGTCGCCAATGATAATAATCTAAAAACGATCCTAAAAAATTTTTGTAAAAAGTACCTCGCGTTCTCGGAATTGGCCTTTTAGCAATTCGATGGCGGCCAGTCGGACCTTGTTTGCTACATTTCCGGCGTAAGCCATCTAAATTCAAATCAGGCCAATTTTTCACCAAACACCTGAAAAGCGCCGCCACGATCTCCAATATTAGGGATCGAGCCGAAGACGTTTGCTGCCATCACGGCGTCAGTCACCGGCGAGCTCCAGTCGCCCTCGCCGTACAAGAATGGGATCCTAAAATGCGAATATAAAAAGAGCCTTGAAAAACCGTAAGACAACGGCCGGCCTCCCGGAAGCGAGGATTTCTTGCTCGGCCAGGTGCTTTGAATTGCAGTAAGCCTAAAAAAAGTAGGAATCGCTTGAAAAAACGTTACCTTGCACGGCCAACGCGTGGCATACTTTTCGGCGTCGCGCTCCGGTTCGTAGGTGTTAGGCCAAAAGTCGGAGCACTAAAATGGTATGAAAAACTCAGAATAAAGTCATACCTGAACCAGTGCCGATGAACTGTGGACGATCGGGGCCGAGCTGTTCTTCAGGATTTCGCCGACGAATTGCTCATTGTGAAAACGCAGGGCTTCGCGGTTTGGCGCCATCGAGAAGTCGCGCGCCTCGTGACAATTGATTATCTAAAGCAAAAGTTACAAAACCTGATTTCCAATGTACCAATTCAGCATCCGAGATGCAGACGGCAAGACGTTCCTCCGAATCGGCATCGCCGAGTTCTAAAAACTCGAACTCAAAAGATGGTAAATGACTTTGTATACCATCTGAGTGTGCCCACGTGTTCAGCGCAATTTCCGGATGCAATCCCTCGAATACGCTGACGACATGCTGCCCGAGCTGAGAGCGCGCGCCCAGGATCGCAATCGGGCCCTTCATTCCGGATCTGAAAAAGGGTTTATCATGCAGTTTAACGACCCAGGTCAGAATGGAAAGTCGAGTCAGAACGACAAATTGTGAAAGCATGCACAAAATCAAGCAACTAACGCGGGGAATGCAAGGAAATATACATAAGCGCAGAGGCGCGACAACAACGCATAACGAGTCAGATTTTCACTTCATCGTGGCGTTGGCCCGAGCCACTTTGCGTGTCAGCATCTCAATTTGAGCATAAATCATGCGGCTAGCAGGGTAGGTCTTCTCGCAGATCCTCGCAAACTCGTCTGCGGCTTGAGCCAGCTGATCGGCGAGTTCGGCCGCTTTCTCCGGAACGCACTAGATAATCTCCAGAGCACGCTGCGCAGCGGCTTGAAATTCTCTCATCTTCTCGCTTATGTCCGCGTGCACGGTGCGCATAGTGCGCTCGTTTTCGCTCACCAGAGCTTCGAAAAGCTTCACAGTCTTTTCGTAAATGAACGTGGACGTTTCCCTGGGCAAAGCAGCAGCAGTGTCATGTCCACCGTGCTTTTGCGACGTGCACCGTTTGCAATTGGTGGTCGAGCAGTCGATGCAATTGAGCAGCTCCTCCACTGCGTACTTCGATTTGCAGCCGGCGCAAATGATACCAGCAATCTGGTGACGCGCAAGTTCAACGGCTTGCTCCAAAAACTTTTTCTTCATGCCGGCGTCCACGTTCTTCAAGTGCTGCGCTTGGTATTTGTCCACTTCGTTCACAAAATCGGTGTACATCTTCGCCTGTTGGCTTCTGGCCTTGAATTTGTTCGATGGGACGCGAATCTCGCCCGGCGAATGCGTCTGATAACTCTTGTTATCCGCGGAAAGATGCATGTGGTCGAGCTTCGTCAGCGCATCGATCCAGATATCAACCTCCAAGACGCAGCGTCCAATTCGCGACATCGTATTGCATACGTGTTCAGCGGCTGGCACGCAGGAAAGGCAGCTAAAGTATCCGCAGAGGCGATACACCGGCATCCGATTCACGTCAGAATTGAAGGGCAGCCGGCATCGGGGGCAGTTCAGCGATTTGATCAAGTACACGGGCATCTCTGAAAGAAATAGATTAGTTCAGTAGTCAGCGAGAGAACCATAGAAATTTAGAAAACAAAAAACAACGCAAGTTTGCTAAAATTCAAAGCAGTTCCCGAACCAACGTTTTCCCGCGGATCAAAAAAAACCTCATCGCATCAGAGAAAAATTTGATCAGCAAATTTCTTAGCGCGCAACACTGCCTGTCAGGGCGCGCATGGGGGTGGGGGAGGGCGTGGCCTAGTGGTCTAAGGCGCCGGTCCCAACTCCAGGCAGAGGGTGCTGGTTCGGTTCCTCTGACTGACAGAAGCCCGTTAGGGTTTTGCACTTTTTTGCAAAAGGTACAGATGGGGATCCAAAACCGATCTAAAGAGAAGCCCAAGCGGAAAATACAAGTTTTGCTATTTCCCGGGCTCTAAAGAAGAAATTGTCTCAGATGGTGCCGATTCGCTCAATAAAGGAATATCATAATAACAAAGACATGTACTGCCCAAATTAGCACCAATTCAATGATTTCAAGCCCCTTCATCCGTACAAAGCTGAAACCTTTGACTAGCTTCAGTTGTTCAATTATTAGGATCTCTCATTCAGCACCTTTTTTACTTCCCAGGACCGCAGAAGTACCCAATTTGACAGTACCGATTCTTTTCCGATGAATATCGGTTAAAAACCCCGGAAGAATGAGGCTAAACGCAAAGAAAAACGCGGCGCACAAAGCTCGTATTTTCGCAATTTTTCCGGCTTAAATCCTAGATAAATCCTTATTTTCACGCTAAATCACCCTTAAAACCCCTCCCATAATGTGCGCAAGAGTCTTCTCTATGTTTCGTATCGGTGGACTCCCCACAACAACGTCGTTTTCGAAAGTTATAGGCATTTGAAGTTGAAAATTTGTGAGTTTTTTTTGGCCCCTTTCTTTGCCTCTCTCTCGAAAAATCATGGATCGGTAGGCAAGCATAGTGTGCGCGCGGGCATAGGAACGCTACGGAGCGCCCCGACCTCTCATGAGCGCATTTCTGAATATCTGACAGCCAGTGGCAAATTCAAGATTAGCCACGGCAAAACCATTGAAGAAAGTAGGTACCAAGTCGGCTTTCAAACCTTTCAAAAAATTCGTACAAATGGCTTTGTAAAAGTCTTTATCAACAAAGGGCAGTATCAACAACGAGAAATGGTAACAAATTCGCAATGCATCCAAAACAACGTAACAAGAGTCGATTAGGTATCAGCCTTCTCGGCTTTCGGGCAAATTTCGGCAAATTCGGTGATCAACGTGTCGAATTCGTCGTTCATCTTGCGCGTAACCGGATACGCCTTCTCACAAATCTTCTCGAATTTGTCTGCCGCTTCATTGACCTGGTGGGCGAGTTCCACCGACCGTTCCGGCTCCAGTTTCATGCGATCGAGGGCGGCCTGGGCAGCAGCTTGAAATTCCTTCATCTTGTCGCCAATGTCCGTGTTCAACACGCGAATGTTGCGCTCGTTTCCGGCGACGAGGGCATCAAAACGCTTCGTCGTCTTCAAGAAGAGGAATTCGGTCTTATCCTTCGGCTTCGTGGCGACTGTCTCATGGCCATCGTGTTCCTTGGCGGCGCACAACTTGCAGATAGTTGCGGGACAGTCTAGACAATTATAAAGTTCTTCCGGGGGGAACTTTGACTTGCAGCTTGGGCATGTAATGACCATCATTTGACAAGTAATCCTTCTTTAAATTGTTAGCTTCCTTTTCCAGGTAGTCCTTCTGAAATCGCGTCAATTCGTTCACAAGTGCGACGCGCATTTCGAACCGCTTGTCCCATGCTAACGGACATGGCGGGATGGATATCTCGCAAGGCGAATCGGTCTGATAGTTCCGCTTATCCTCCGAAAGTGCTAGCTTGTCCATCTTCGTCAGCGCATCGATCCATCCATCAACAGAACGGGTACATTCGTGATCATACCGCGAGCATTCGCACTTGATACCGGCATTACAAGTCAGACAACGAAAAGTGCCACATTTCGGGAAGCAAATGGGCATCCGATTGATCGTCGAATTAAACGGCAACCGGCACCCGGGGCAATTCAGTGATTCGAACCGATACACCGACATACCTGAAACCGAAAACGGTATAATTGAGGCGATGATAAAGAAGCAAAAAGATGAAAATAAATGTTATGAAATGTATGGAATGACTGTATGGAATGACAATTTATGGACTAACACAATTTTCTGAAAAGGCTGTGAGGAAATTGATTGGCATGTGATTCTGGTCTGGTATTTCCGGAAATATCATATTTACATATGAAATAGGCTTTATATGGAAAAATATCATATGGAAAAATAAATGATGCATCTTAGACGTAGGATGGCAAAAATTAAAAAATTAAATAAAAAAAAACCAGCTTTTTTTTGTCGCGCCTGGTGGGGATAGTAACCAAATATAAAGTGTTTTCACATTGTTTTTAGCAAAATTTAAGCCTATTTGAATTTGTAAAGTTTTTATGTTTAGGAATATCTATAAACGATTTAGAAACACTTCCACTATTGATATAAAAAATCTAGGCTTGGGCCAAAAAAGTTCAGTTCCCCCCGGGAATACACAAGAACCAATACGTTTTTAAAACTCTAGACAACGTCTTATTAAATTTTCATGTACGTCGTCGGGGAAAATTCAGGTTTACGGTGCTCTTCCAAAATGCGGTTTTTTTGTGTTCAAATCGCTAAATAAAGGTCAGAAACGGACTCATCGACAAAAATTAGGTGGCGGAAGGGATTGAGAGATGGAATCTGTGTCCGAATCTTCCCTTTATATATAAAGGCTATAGGCCTTGCCGCCCAGTTATTTTTGCTGATTAATACGTTTCAGACCTTGGTGCTTCTATTCGTGCAGAAAAAGGAAAATTTTGGGCGAGTACCGTAAAGTAGTATCCTCCGTACACTACTTTACGGTACCCGATCTTAAAACTAAAATGAGGTTTCCTCCACTAAAAAGTGCTTCCGCCTAATTTTTGTCGCTGAGTCCGTTTCTGACCGTTATTTAGCGATTTGAACACAAAAACCGCATTTTGGGAGAGTACCGTAAACTTGAATCAAGCCCGTCGTCGATGCAGGCACCTGAAATTCTTTCATAGAACGTTTTCAAAAAGTATGTTTCGCTGTAATTTGTCGTTTTCAAAAAAAGTTTATTGCTTTAAAGAAAAAGAGCTTTTTTAGATGGATGACCGGCGTTGAATTCTTAAGCCTAACGGCAAAAAAAGATTGGTGAAAGTTTATAAACACCAACGGCTAAATCGATCCGATAATACATCGAAGCAAGTAGGCACCAAGTCGGTTTATAACCCTTACAAAATATTCGCACAAATGGCTTTGTAAAAGTCTTTATCAACAAAAGGCAGTATCAATAACGAGAAATGGTAACAAATTCGCAATGCATCCAAAACAACGTAACAAGAGTCGATTAGGTATCAGCCTTCTCGGCTTTCGGGCAAATTTCGGCAAATTCGGTGATCAACGTATCGAATTCGTCGTTCATCTTGCGAGTAACCGGGTACGCCTTCTCACAAATCTTCTCGAATTTGTCGGCTGCTTCATTGACCTGGTGGGCGAGTTCGACCGACCGCTCCGGCTCCAACTTCATGCGATCGAGAGCTGGCTGGGCAGCAGCATGAAATTCCTTCATCTTGTCGCCAATGTCCGTGTTCAACACGCGAATGTTGCGCTCGTTTCCGGCGACGAGGGCATCGAAACGCTTCGTCGTCTTCAAGAAGAGGAATTCGGATTTGTCCTTCGGCTTCGTGGCGACTGTCTTATGACCATCGAGTTGTTTCATGAGACACGGCTGGCAGATGGTCGTTCCACAGTCCTCGCAGTTGAAAAGTTCGTCAAGGCGACATTTTGCCTTACAGCCCGAGCAGTTGATCGTGGAGATCAGGCACCATTCTAGTTCCATGCGACTTTCCAAGTAATCTTTCTTCAAATTGCTGGCCTCTTTTTCTAGGTAGTCCTTCTGAAATCCCGTAAGCTCGGCCACAAGTTGGGTATACACCTTTCCATGTTCGCCCCCCGAACCTTTGGGGATAGATATCTCGCAAGGGGATTCGGTCTGATAATTCATCTTATCTTCGGAAAGTTGTAGCTTGTCCATCTTCGTGAGTTCATTTATCCATTCATCAAAGAAACGGTGGCATGAAGCCCTATATTCAACGCAGCCACAAACTTTCGTACAGCAGGAAAGACAACTCAGCCTAGCACATCTTGTAAGGTAAACAGGAATTCGATTCATGTCAGAGTTGTAAGGGCTATTGCACTTTGGGCAATTCAGCGACTGGAACCGATACACCGACATACCTGAAATAGAAAATATTAAGACTGAGGTAATGATAAAGTCGCAAAAAGATGAAAGAAATGCTATGAGACAATGCATCGCATAAATTTTCTGAAAAGGTTGTGAGAAAATAGATTGGAATATGAGTCTGGTCTGGAATTTCGGGAAATACATATTTTAGAAGTATCCTATCGGATTCCGGAAATTGGCGAACTATTTCACAAGCTACCAACAAAACTTGTGAATGTGAAAATTTTCAACATCCTTTTTCTGTTTTCCAGCCTTTAGGCGGATATTGATTTTTCGGTAAGTTAGCACAAAGTTTGTAAAAAATAATAACTTTTAGACGTTTTTACAAACTCTAAATAAGGTTTTATTGCATTTTGATGTATTCCGTCGATGCAGGCACCTGAAATTCATTAACTCTGAAACGGTTCGCTGTAATTTGTTGTTTTCAAAGTTTATTTCTCTAAGTAAACTAAAAATAGGTTTTTTAGATGTATGAGTAGACTTTAGATGTATGTATACACTTTATAGCATACAGTCACCTGCAGCACGTTCCGCTTTATTTTTTATTTGCATTTAAAGGTTCGGCCAGAGTTTTTGATATTCAAAAAAATCAACATAGCAGGAAGGTTGAGTTTTAAGTTGTTAATAGTAATAATTTTTTAAACTTGATATTTCGTTTTTGCAATGGCTTCTTTGCAGGTTACCAAAAAAATTAAAACCCGGCTGCAGGGGTCTTCTTGTTTTATTGCTTTTGAAGCCTTGTGGTCCTTTTGAAGCTGCGGGTTCTCTGAAAACCCGCAATTGTCGCATATTTCTGGGTTCAAGGTTATTTTTCGGCACGGCTCGGCTGGTAAGTTTATTTCCGCAAAAAATATTGCGAAAATAAATGTCGGTCTAGCATTGGTCTTTCGGCACGCAAGTTCCATCAGGTTTTCTGGCGTACCCCTCCTTGCAGACACACACGCCGGCGACGAAAACGAGCACGCACGGCTTCTGGAAAATAAATGTATTAACCTGACTTTTGTCACTACGCTACGCACATTGTTGGTACTCTGAAGCATGGCTTTTACTCATACAAGCGCTCGTTCACATCGGTGCTATACGTAGGCCTATTTACACCTTGATCTCTGCGTAAAGAGGTGCCCTCGTAGTTCGTGAACGCGCGCCGAAGGGGACCAGGAGGCCAAATTCGAGTGCTCCGGGATCGAACCTACGATCGACGAAAAAATGAACGCTTACCGGCCCCTCGCAGGTTTCAGCATCACACATCGACCCATCCTGTAACGTCTCATAATCTTTGCAGTCTAAAATGTGCTTATTTCCATACAATTAGGGGACGGAAATGGGAATCTATAACTGCGAATTTTCAATGTATTTAAAAATTGGAATGCCAAAATTCTAACTGTCAAATACGAAAAGTACATGATGACCAGCTCGCTCACCTTCCGCATTTTTGCCGGCTTCGTGGAACCAATATGGCCGATCGGCGACGACAACGCAGATAAGTGCCGCGAGAATCAGAATCTTCATTTCGGAAATCTTCTAGAACCCGTTACTTCGTTAAAATTTTTATTAAAGGGTTTAGAAGCGCGATTAACACACTAAAATCGTGAGCAATTGAGAGTAAACGGGACTCGAGGTAACTCGCAAAATTAGCACTCCGAGGCTATAGACATTTGCTCAGACGCCTATTTATATCCAGCGCGATGGGGGCGAAGCAAAAAGCAGAAAGATACGAGCGGACCGCGCGGCCAGGATTTTTATCGTTCGAAAAATGGCGGACTTTGGCTCTTAGCTGATTGATGACAGCGGTCAGGAAATTTCCATTGGAAGATCTTTGGCATTCAATAGAAGAAGAAGACGAACAAACAAAAAGTGTTTTATAATTTTAGAAACCTTGTCGAAAGATGCCTTACCTTTTCCTCGCTATCTCTCACTCGCTCTCTTTCTCTCTTTCTTCCTGGCTCGAACTCATTCACTCATTCTTTCGTTCTCTCTCTCTAACCCTCTCTCACGCTCTCTCACTCCCCCGCTCTCTCTCTCTCTCTCTCTCTCTCTCTCTATCTTTCTCTATATTCTCTCTCTCGTTCGCTCTCTCTCTCTCTCTCTCTCTCTCTCTCTCTCTTTTCTATCTCGAGCCTCTCTCCCTCTATCTCTCTCTCAAATTATATAAATGCACTTTTTACATGGTCCCCGTTTCTCATCCTCATTTCTCATTTTCCTCCTCTAATGCATGTGGGGAGTGAGCTTTTTGACTTGGCAGAGCGATGCTAAAGGAGCGCCGCGTATTCCTGGCGTAAGGCTTTTGAAATGCTTTTCATGTGGTGCTATTTCAAATAGATTTTAATTGGGTTTGCATTTTAGCATTATTGAATATTCTATGTTGATTAATGATTCAGATAGAGTGAGAAATTCAGACAAATCCAGATAGGTAGAGTGACGCATCCAAATTTACTGAATCAATGAAGAAAAGAAAAAATCCTTCTAACAACGTTTAGCGCTCAATTCGAAAAGCTGAGTTTTCTTTAAACATTTGGAATGTTTTGGGCGAAATTTCTACTATAAGAAATATACAATTCGAAACATACTTTAACAAAGTTAGTAAAACGAAACGTTACAAATTATATTGTTACTATGCAAATTATATAACATTGTTTGTGATACAAACCCAGAAAGCTAAGCCTTTAAACAGCAACCTGACAACAACGTAACGATACGCCTATTAATGTTCTGATTCTGGTGTTATGCGGAAATTAAGCACACCACGCAGCTTAATTTCCCAAAAGCGCCAAAATAACGACATTAATAGACGTTAATTGACCTAGAGGAGGAGACCTGGGCGAGTTAATTCCCGGTCCTCACATCTGTTTCAAGGTATATAAACTCGCGCTTTCGAAGAGCAAACCATCTCAACTTTCCAACCCCGTCCAGTTACCCAAATCTCGACCCCAATCTAGCAACCATGGCCCCTCACGTCAGCGATGGTCCCGAATCGTCGAAGCGCCTGAAGGAGGAGATCCTGTACCGGGTAGGTTACAGGAAAACACGGATTCTGATTGTCTTAAGTGGTCTTAAGATTTGTCCATTGTAGCGTAGCGGAATTCAGAATGTTTTAAAGGGATCAGATTCATTAAGGTAAATAAACGTATCAGCTTTTTTTGTAGATAATTAGGCTCTTGTCTCTTACCGGGGGGGGGGGGGGTTAACGTGGATGCTAATTTTTTCCAGTAATTATAACGCCCTAGAAAAAAAAAATGTGAAAATTACCATCTTCTTGTCCTTCGAATTTTCAAAAACTGTGCAAATCTTTTGAAACAACCAAAAACTACTAAAAACGCTAGAAAAATACCCTTTTCGATTATTAACAGGCAAGATAGGCGCAAAAATATGGCATAAATGGAATAAATAAAATAAAAATTAATACCTTTGTTAAGAATGCCCCCTTCCCCCCGCTAATAGTCCAGTACCGATCCGGCTCTAGTAGCATAGCGGATGCCTTTTGTAAAAAAACTTAAAAATATACCTTTCAGTTCCAATCGAAAGAAGGCCAGGAGTTCACCCTAGAAAAGTCCGCGGCTCATCTCTCCGGAATCGTCAAGCAGATGGCACAGGTAGACAAAAAAAATTAAGGGTTTGAAAAAAGCTACTTTCCAAATAGCTTTAATAAGCGAATTCAATTACAAAAACGGCGAAATTTTGGTGATTACGATAAGTCTATGGCACCCAAATTATCACTACTTTTCCAGGATCTCGGCATCGACAGCGACGAGGCGATCCGCACCATGAAACCGATCCCGATGATCAACGTCACCAGCGAGGCCTTCCACTATGTATGTAATTGATTAGGTGATAGGGCCAATTTTTTGCTTTTTAGAGGAACTAGAAAGACATAATTCAATCTGAACCTTTCTGGACTTTTAAAACGTTTGAAATTAGCTAATCTCTTTGTCAGGCCAAAAATAATAACTTTAACGGGGATTTTTTGACCGGTAAGGCAAGAATATAGAGCCAAAAAGTAGCAGAAACCCGTAGATTTAGCTTCCACGTTCCTTTAAGTTCCACTAGATAACCGAAGTTTCATGCTTATTTTGATTAAAATTAGTCTAAGTTGATTTGGATGGTAGTTTGCAGTAATTTTTCGGACAGTTTAAGGGGGTTTAGGCTTTCCTAATAAAGCAAAAATTAATTCAACAACTGCTTATGTCAAAATTTCATCCCTTGCAGGTCGTCAAGTGGTGCGAGCAGCACAAGACGATGCCGCCGTGGGAGGAGGACAAGTGGTGGCTGAACGAGCGCGACGAGGAGATGAAGAAGTGGGAGAAGGAGTATTTCGATGCGCTCACCTCCGAGCAGCTCTTCGACATCTTCTGCGTAAGTTTTAAGTTCTAAAAACTCAGTGGCTTGTCAAAAACACTTATCTTTAATGCTCAAAATACCTAAAAAACTTAGGAATTTCTGAATATCGTTGAACAACATTAAATACATAATTAAATATTTTTTCAGGCAGCCAACTACATGGACATCAAGTGCCTTCTCGACAAGTGCGCCGAAACTGTTGCCGCGATGATCAAGGGCAAGTCGGTGGAGGAGATTCGCGAGATTTGGATGCTGGAAAACGACTTCACGCCCGAGGAGGAGGAGGCCATGAAGTAAGGAATTTAATGGATACCTTAATGAAAGTAGCAAAAGCTAGTATTACTGTAATTTTCGAACTCTTCCCATGAATTTCCAGCAAAAAATCAAAAATTACTTAAATTACTACTAATTTTTCTATACTTTAGTGAGTGATACTAGTTTAAAAATCTTGTAAAAAGTTTACTTAATAAAAAATTCTTTTCCAGAAACGAGAACCCGTGGGAGGTCATCCTCCGCGAGATGGGCGAACTCAACGACGGCGTCGTCATCCAGCAGCCACGGGATGCTGCTGCCCCTGCTGCTGCTGCTGCGCCCGCTGCTGCTGCTCCGGCAGCTGGAGCTGTTGCCCCAGCAGCCGGTGCTGCGGCCCCAGCGGCTGATCAAGCTGCTGCTCCTGCCGCTGATCAAGCGCAAGCTGATGCTGCTGGCGCGGCTGCTGACCAAACTGGCCAAACCGACGCCCCAGCGGAGAAGATGGAGCAGGACGATCAGCCTGGAACCTCGGCTCCTACTGCTGAAGTCCAGGCCGAGGTTGAAACCGAAGTCAAGACCGAAGCTACCGAAGCTAAGGCTGAACCTGACGAGGATGCCGACAAGCCTGGACCCTCTAACTCTCAAGCCTAATTTGTTAACCCGTTTCTGTCTCACCTCTTTACCCTGAAGCATCAATCCCCCAACTCTGATCCTGTTACCTGGTGCTCAAGTAGAGCCTCACCTTCCACTCCTTTTCCGCTTTTTTCTGTTACTTCCCGCCTTCTACTCCGTTGCCTTTTACCCTAATTTTCCCCAGTCATACTCACCTTTCTCAGTCGATATAACCGGATAAACTTTGAATAAAATTTTGTAGTATTAAGCTTGCTGAAAATAATGCAAAGGATAAAACTTTAGAAAAACAGCAAAACGTGAGAACAATGCTAGCATTAAAAACAAATAGCAAAAAGCCTACGACACTCGGGATTCCCAAGCCGTCTCCGATCCAAGTACTAACCGAGCCCAACGTTGCTTAACTTGGCAGATCGGACGGGATGCCGTGCTTTCAACGTGGTATGGTCGTAGGCGAAAGGGAGAAGGGGAGGGTTGGTGAAGCGATGGGGGGGAGCTACGGATTGCGATAGAGTCAGAGGTATCAGACGATGAGGACCTGATCGTACAGGAAAAGGAGCGGTGGTAGCAGACCAGCAGATGCTCGCTCTTTGGATGGTTGCCCTGTCAGAGAACGCTATCTCCTACCAGGATAGGACAGAAAAGCAGCCACCCCTCCACAGGTTCGGTTTAATTACCCAAGTTTGAGGTTAGCATTAACCCCGAGACCTCCTCAAAAGAGTGTTTCGAACAAATTTTGGAACGCATTCCCCTAAAAGGGAGTGCACAAATCATGGGATACCATCTAACAAGTGGCTTAAGTATATTGTTAATAAGCAAGTTTTGGTATTAGCAGGGTCCCCGCAACCGCCTGGGACCCCTGACGCAAAAATTGGAAAGTACACGGTCCCTTAGTCCAGGATCGTGTTGTGCTTCAGCCCGGCCGGGGAGTGCAATGGCCGGGCCTCAACTCAGAATCTCCTCCTTCATGATCGAGGATCATCACTTTCTGGTAGGTACCCAATTTGGGGTACTGTAGGCTGTCGTTCATAACAGTGGGTCAGCTCGGGGTAGTTTGGGAAACCGGAAGTGGCATTTGGATGTTGGATGCAAATTAGGGTTTCGAATGTGAGCTGGCCTGGCTGTGAAATAGAGTGAGGGAGGCCTAGGCTAAAGCCTAGGCTTCCTCAGGCTTTTCTAATTTGCATCGCCTAGGCTGAGCCTGGGCCATGCAAAGTATGCCTGACCTCTAATTAGTCAGGCTTTATCCGGAAATTTTATGTAAAGTCGTAGTATATTCGAAGTTTTGCCGAACAAATAAGGATTTTTTGGAAATTTCCGGGGGTTCGAAGAGCTGCATTGGGTCCAAGAATATTTTACAAAGTTAGGGTACTGTTTTTGACAAACCTTACGGCACGATACGTTAATGGCACGCGGATTCACAAAAGTCAAGAGTCGGTTCCAACGGGTGGGGGATGCAGTTGGCTCTCCTGACATCCTGCCTATATTTTTTCCACCTTCGGCATCCTTGTAATTTGTTATTGCGTCAAAGATACGAACGCTTTAGATGCAGTATGTAGTAGGAACATGTTTTTGCGCATTGCATAAAAAGCCTGCGTAAATCCTTAGGCTTCCGCCAGGCGTCGGCAGGCGCGGAAATGCAATTCGGCCCAAGAAAGCCTGAGGAGGCCTGTCGCTCCCTCACTCTACTGTGAAATATCGATGGGCCGGAAGTAGAAATTGGCAGTTACGGATGCAAATTAGGTATGCTGATGGCCTTTTTGTAGAAATAGGCCCAAAATCACAGACCATAATTCGAACAACATTTTTTGAACACGTTATATTACACATTTTCAAATTTTCAATGTTGATGAAATTCTTATTACCGTTTATTTATGGTTAAGAAAAAAGAAGTCCAAATTATTCTAGGAATCGCGTCCGTTTTTTAACCAGTCACGTGGAATCCTTGGATATCTAAAATTCTGACCATCCGGGAGCAACTTTACCAATTTTCCAAATTCCAGTGACAAATCTCTCACGAGGGCATCCCTGATTCGTTTTTAGTTAGTTTTAAACGGTGACTCAGCCAGGACGGCAAATTTTTCGGGAATCCAGGACCGGTTATCCGGGGCAATTTTCAGCGAGTAGCCCGGCCCAAAAACGTTTAAAGAGGCGGAGGGGGATTTTTTGGGAAAAATGGCGATCAAATCTCGCCCACTCGTCAACAAGCGTTGGATATATCAGATTTTGGTAGTATAAAGTTATGGAATTTGAGTTCAGGATGTAAGATCAACGACTTTTTGAGAAATGTTTCCAAGTTTAATGTGCTCTCGCTGTCTCTCTCTCTCTCTCTCTCTCTCTCTCTCTCTCTCTCTCTTTCTCTTTCGCTCTTTCTCTTTCGCGCTCTCTCTCCCTCACTTTTGCTCTCTCTCTCTCTCTCTCTCTCTCTCTCTCTCTCTCTCTCTCTCTCGTCTCTCTCTCTCTCCCTCTCTCGTTATATTTTAATTTTTTAGAACCGTATTTTTCTTTTTCCAGAAAATGAAGCTCCTCCTCGCCTCCCTCTTTATCGGCTACGTCACAGCCGAACTGTACAACGCCACCGTCAAGGGAACCGTAATTTGCAACAAGCGCAAGCAGTCCGGCATCAAGCTCAAGCTGAAGGAGCATGATACTTGTAAGATTTAGAGGACCGAAAAATTTTTACTAATTTAGACACCAAAAAGGCCATTTTGAAAAATTAACTATTTTTAGTCTCAAAGGACGACGACCTGGGCTCAACCACCACGGATGATCAAGGAAATTTTGAGATCTTTGGGAAAGACGAGGAGTGGTACGGGTTCCGCCCCTACATTGTCATCTACCACAACTGCAGGACGCTGGAGAATGTGAGTAATTATCAACGCCCAAAAAAACATCTAACATTTTTTAACGAAACTGACGAAGAAACCTAGCGGTTTTCGTTAAAAAATTGCGTGGAAATGCCAAATTAGGCCTTCTTTCAGTTTGAGTGGCCAATAAATTCGTATAATATAGAATTTAGCAAGCATTTTCTATATTACTGATTTTTGTATACGCTTATTTAAAGTATTTTAGGGTTGCCTAACGCGCTCGCGCTATGAATACCCGCAGTCGGCCGTGAATGGCGTCTACGACATGAGCTACGTCGCCTTGGATATCGCGACGGCAGAAGAGAGCGCGAAATGTCCTTAATTTTAAGGCCTAAATTCGAATAAATCAGACATATAAAAATAACGAAATAAAAATTATAATGATAGAAAGCGACAATCAAGAAATCAAAACAACAAACACTACCAAACCAGAAATAGCCTGACGATACTGCCAAGGGAATTGAAGTAAAAATCGTTTTAGCAAGACCATCATTTTCAGGGAATTAATTATAGCATTGCAATAAATATATATTATTATGCAAGATCTGAGTTTTATTAAGTTTTAAAACGTTTTATATAACTTTTTCGAACGAGAAATGTATAATTTTCGGATTTTTTACGCACGCCGAGCACTTTCTACAACTCGCGGCTTCCTGCTTTCTTTTTTTTATCCGGCTCAACTGATCGTTCCCAGGATGAGAAAAATCACCAAAAATGAAAGTAAAGAAAACAACGCAAGAGAATAGTGAGAGAAATACAGTTCCTCCTATTTTGCTACGCCCCCGAGAAAGGTGATTGATGGCCTCTCGCGGGGGCTCTATTCGCCACACCACCAAAGTTGGCTGGGTGGAACAGGCAGAGTCATCTTTTCATTTAATCCATTGCCACCGTATTTGCTGTTGGTCGTATTTCATTTTTAAAGAAAAATTTTTAAGAAGTGGTTCGAGGTCGATTATTATCGGCCGAAAATCAGAAAACCTCTTTTTTGGACATGCAACTTATCGACTTGACCATGCGAGGATTGCGATATAATTATATTAAACCTACGCGACATCGCTACCATAGCCATCGTAACATTTTTCACTTTTTTTTAACGCTTTCCGGCTTTTCGTACTCTTCTTCCGTGCGCCGATCTTGCATTTTTCATGGATAAACTGTACAGTAAGTATTAGACTCTTTCAGATGAAGCTCCTTCTCCTAGCCTTGTTCTTCGGAACAGCATCTGCTACCGTTTTCACCGCCAACGTCAAGGGCACCGTCATCTGCCACAAGCGGAAGCAGTCCGGGATCCTCGTCGAGTTCAAGGAGGCGGATGCAGGTAAGAGTTGTCTCTTCCGCTCTCTCTCTCTCTCTCTCTCTCTCTCTCTCTCTCTATCTCTCTCTCTCTCTTTCTCTCTCTCTCTCTCTCTCACTCTCCCTCTCTCTCTTTCTAATAGAACTGCATTTCTAGTCTCGAAGGACGATCTGATGGGTACGGCCACCACCGACACTGACGGCTTCTTCGAAATCTCCGGCAAGAATGACGAGTGGGGAGGCATTGAGCCATATGTGTACATCTACCACAACTGCCGCACCATCAAGGAGGTCAGCAGCTCATGTTCATACTGCTGCAATTACGAGATTTTGTTCAAACCATAGGAATACCCTACATTTTTCGACAAATCGATTCTGTTAATTCCAGGGCTGCCTGACCCGTTCGCGCTACGAATACCCGCAGTATGCTGTTAATGGGGTTTACGATATGAGCTACATTGCCTTGGATATTGCCACCGCTGACGAGTCGTCCGTCAAGTGTCAATAAGCGGAAATATCGAGAAATTTGCATAAATTTTTTGAACGGATTAAATTTTTGCTGCAGCTGATTTTATTTCAGAATTTTACGTTTCCGACCTATTTTGCGCAATTTTTAAGCCATGAAAAATTTAAAATGCTACAGTATATTATTGGCAAATTCTGCGTACACGCCTTGGAATCCCTGCTTTGCGCCCACGACCGCAACGCAGCCGCGACGCGTTTCAGATATTTTGCCAGGATTGGTAAACCAAAAACAGTTATGTTTCCATTTTCGTATTGAAAATTGGCTGATCATGCCGGTTATGCAGTAATGCAAATTACACAAATTATGCAAATTTATTGCACTCACATGAACCGTAAGGCGCATTGAACATTTCAAGAAAGCAAAAAATTCCCCGAAAAATTCAATAAATTCCCGTCTATTCATGGTAATGTGGTTCCTGGGTTAAATTATAACAAGGCCGCGTGAAAGCTTGCGTCACAAATGCAGGGGCAGCAAGAAAGCGGGATTAAATTTGTATTAAATTTCAATAAATTTACAAAAGAAAAGGCTAAAAATACTATCCATTCTGAGAAACTTGCCCGTAATTTGGTTCTATCGATTAACAGCAATTAAGGGGAGTACGGCACGGGTGGGGGTTGGCTTTGGTAATGGGCAAAAACAAAAAAAAGTGAAAACAGAGAAAATAAATTGAAAAATATGGCAAAAATTTGGAACTATGAGGAGAACTTGGCGTCGAGCTTCTTCTTAACCGCCATTTCATCGAGGACCTGAAAATAAGATTTTGGGAGTTTTCCTTTTTGTCTATTTTTGTAACGGCATCCGCTAAGTTTTAGTGCCAAAAATCAAACAGATTTTCATTTTCTTAATCATATAATTCAAGGTTTTGCCTTGCCAGGTCCCTTAAAACAAAAACCGGACGAGAAGCCTACTAAACAGCATGAAACTTGTCTCTCAAAGGTCACAAAACTAGGTGTCAATAGGAGCCCATAGTTGTCAAGATCGAACTACGCGAGATTCCAATGGGCACCCGTTTTTTCCACGCACCTTTTCGAGACTATTTTCTGAATTATTGCTCTCTACATGGCGCTGTCCCCCTTTAAAGAATTTGTACAATTTTTATAGCTTTTTCAAAATGCCTCGAAAATACCTTCCCTTTCAAAATTTTTTTACGACAAAGTGCTTTTAAAATCTAGTCCTAGTTATGATTTAAGCGTATCGGATTTGCATAAAAAGATTGAATAAATACATACCTCATTGACGTGCTTATTGCTCGTCTCCGGGCACCACCACCACAAGAACGGCAGGGAGATGGCCGTCGGGATGAGGAAGAGCAAGATGGACCAGCCTTTGATCTGAAAGACATGAATTGGAGGCCCAAAGTTGCTGTCAGCATCCCTTGAAAAACCAAAACGTTGGATTAGATTATTTTCCAGGTATCGATCCATTGAAACCTGATACTTACCGCGTTCCCGAGAGGGTAGAATGCGAATTCGATTCCGATCTTGGCCAGCGCCTCCAGCATGGTCAGATAGGAGGTGGCGTTGATGAGCAGTGACCTCGGCACAAGTTCAGCGGCGTAGAATCGAGAGATGGAGCCGATACCGCAGGCCGAGATCAGCAGCAAGACCGTCAGGGCGATCATGGTGACCACCTAAAATGAAGAGGTATGAAAGGTATCAGAAGGCTTAATTTAGAAGAGATTAAGACGGTTCGGTTCATTTACCATAAAGTGAGCCTCTGTCTTTCTCTCTGTCTCTCTCTCTCTCTCTCCCTCTCTCTCTGCCTCGCTGTCTCTCTCTCTCTCTTTCTCGCTCTCTCGCTCTCACTCTGTCTCTCTCTATCTCTCTCTGTCACTCTCTCTCTGGCTAAGCAGTCTCTCGCACGCAACTCACCTTTAACGACCCGCCAACTAGCGTGCAGATGAACATGGCAATCAAGGCAATGACGCAGACGAGCGTCGAGATATTCAGAAGCGGTCGACGACCAACGCGATCGACAAGGAAAACGCAGATCAAGGTGGTTGGGACACGGGCGACACCTAAAAAGCGGGTGAATTCCCGGTATCACGGTACATTACGGTATGTTTTTAGCGTATGAGCATAGCCATAGGTATCCAAAGGGAACTACGAAGGCTTACCAATAGCAAACGACAGCCAAATAGCCGTATCCATATTCCAGCCTCCCAAATCGGCCAGCAAGAAGGTGGAATAGCTCCTGAGAGCTCGAGCTCCAGTGAAGACGTAGACGACCTGAAAAAAAGTATTTTGTTGCGTAGATACTTCATTTTTCGCATTTCAAAACTTCCTGGATATGGCTTCCCAATACCTTTAAATCGTGAACAATTACATACCTTAACAAACAACCCAATCCATGCGGCATGTCTGATTACAATCGAGGCCGGGTCCTTGGCCTTCCACGGCATGAACATGATCGTGATCCCGTTGTGTTGGAGCTTCACTTCGTTTTTGGTCTAAAAATCCGAAAATTTTGATAAAAGAAAATACATAATCCCGTTGAAAGCCCGAAAAGATATTTAAGCCCAAATCAGAAAATCCCGGAAATTATATGAAACTATAGAAATAATATTACTGAGTCTTTTCTCTTACCGGTCTGCCATAAAGCGAGGAGCGGACTCCGTTCTGTGGGGGTACGGTATTGGGAATGTGTTTTAGGGACCAACCTTCTTGTTGAGCTTCTTTTCGCAGATGGCAATCTCCTCATCTAGGGACGGGTCCGACTCGTCGACACCGTAGTAGGTGGCCAGCGCCTTTCGGGCCTGGAAAAATTAAGGTGTCTCTCACACTCCATATCTCTCTATGTCCAGCTCCCTCTCGCTCTCCCTTGTCTCTCTCTCTAGCTTTCTCTCTTTCTTCCTCTCTCTCTCTCTCTCTCTCTCTCTCTCTCTCTCTCTCTCTCTCTCTCCCCTTCCCTCTCTTCTTTCCCCTGATCTGTCTTTCTCTTGTTTTCACTCCCGTTCTCTCCCTCGTCCTCCTGAAACCCCCATACCTTTTTCAAGTCTCCCTCCTTCTCAATGATCGAAGCCGGAGCATCGTAGACGAAGATGAACATGAACATGGTCAGGGTCGAGATGACGATGGCAGGGACGAAAATCAACGGCCAGAGCTCTGCAGTAGAGAATGGGACACCGGCTGCTTGGGTGGCCAGGGAGCCTGAAAAAAATATGGGTGTTATCGTATCCTAATGGAATTTGACAGATTTCGAGAATCCTCTGGATTTAAGGGGTTTGGAGGAGCCTGGTATCAAATTCACCACAATTTAATGTGACGTTCGAAAAAGGTCAATTTTACGCGTCGGACGCTTTCAAACGTACTCGTCATTCTTGCCTACCTAAACTCATGAAGAACTCCTGCATCGACGCCATCCGGCCTCGAATTTGTGGTGGTGCGCATTCCACGATCCATACCGTAGCCACAACGCTATTGATCCCATTGGCAAAGGACCTTAAAAACACAGATTTATTCGGATTTGTTTAATCTTGGAACTTTTTATAATTCTCTATAACGATTATCCGACTTACCAAATAAATCTGCCAACATAGAGCAGCTCAAACGCAGGCGGGATGAACTTTGAGATCAATGAAATGGCGCATCCGGGAATGTAGAGGAATGTGGAGAGGATGGCCGTCTTCTTACGGCCTAGAAAATGCTATCTTTATGGATCGTAGCTGTTTTTACTAAAGTAAAGTACGATTTTCTTACAATTAAACCAACCAAATCTTTTGCACAAATACGGAGCGGCAAACTGGCCGACAATAGTAGCGATTGGGAAGGTGATGTTGAGGAGGGACCAGAGAAGGTTCTGAAAGCTGGTTTTTGAGGCAATATTTCGTTAGTTGATCATCCTCAAATATCTCTACTATCTTGGCGCTAGTTTTTTTTCGGTAGTTCCCGCAAAGAATCCATGCTAGCCTGCCCAATGGGCGATTTTCTCAAGTTTTTTTTCTGCTACCTAGCCCTGTGCCTTCATTTTCAATAAAACGCTTGCTTGCTCTTTCTCTCTCACTCTCTCTCCCTATCAATCTCTCTCGTTTTCTGGGCCTCCCTTGCTCTCTCTTTCTCTCTCACTCTCTCTCCCTATCTCTCTCTCGTTTTCTCGGCCTCCCTTGCTCTCTCTCTCTCTCTCTCTCTCTCTCTCTCTCTCTCTCTCTCTCTCTCTTTCTCTCTCTCTCTCTCTCTCTCTCTCTCTCTCTCTTTCTCTCCCTGGCTTGACGGCCCCTACAAAACACAATTTCTGTTTAATTTTTGACATTGAACTCCCGGTCCAGACCTCCCTGAAGTTTCTGATTTCAGATAAATATTTGGCTTCACAGTTCGCCCCAATCCGATTTTGAATGTGATCGGGAAGTTCGGTGCCGACCCCAAAAAAGCAGAAGAAAAAGGAGGCAATGGGTAAAAAACCAGAGAGAGAGAGCCAGAGCGAGAGAGAGAGAGAGAGCGAGAGGGAGAGAGAGAGAGAGCTAGATAGTTCTTTTCCGGGCAACATCCACCGCCGTGTATAAAAACCAATAGGCAAACATTTAGGGCACTCTCTGTGCGTGGCTAACTATGCGGAAAAACGCACGGCGCGCTACTATCCACGATTGGGGCTATTACGGTTTCTGTTTGCTTTTTAGGAGGAGGTAGGTTAGTGCGGCTGGAAAAAACAAGGCTAGAAATGCTAGAAAAAATTGGTAAGGCCTTTCAAAGTCCAAAATAATGCAAATCCCTCTGTGATAAGCTGAAGCTTATGTGTAGAGGGAACTAAGGTTTTCGATTAGGCTTTAGCGTGGGCTTAGGTATCCGTTTAAATTTATAATAAGGGTTGCATAGCTCAAAAATACTCACCAATGTTGTATCAGACAACACATCTCCGCCCGTTGTCAAATTCCAGCTCTGCTGAATGTAGGCCTCGATCTCGGTGTAAGGCTGGTTTAATACTGCGGCGATGTAGCCCTAAAAAAATATTGTTAAATCTGGGGGAGAGAGATACAGAGAGAGCGAGAGAGCGAGATATAGAGATAGAGAGAGAGCGAGAAAGAGAGATGGATGAAACGCTTACCTGATGGAATCCACTGCTCAAGCACAACGCCAACGATAAGACGTGAATATGCCAGGAAGGTTTCTGCAAAATTTTTATATTAATTTTTGAAAATTATGAAACAATTATTGGTTCAATATCAAGCGTATTTTTATCGTATTTACTTTTAGCAACTTTTAAAATCCCGGTTTCTTTAAATAATTGGATCAAAACAGTCGAAATCGTTCAAAAATTTGCTTTTTTCGTTGGTCCGGATTACTGTAATTAGGAGCATTAACTGAAAAAAACTAAAATAAAAATAGTATGCTTAAGTTTGTACTAAATGCAACCTGTTTAGGTACTTACGTATCGTTGCGTACTTGCGCAAAATATACTGTATGAAAATACTATTAAATTACTGTCGCCAACTCTAAAATAAGCATACAAATCAAAACTCACAAAATAAGCATCAAACAGCTTCTTGAAAAAGGCCTTGACGCCCCCAGGTCGTTGAGGCATATCGTCGAAGCCCTGCTGGCTCTCCGTGTCGACTGCCATCCCGATTTTTTCTGACTTCTTGCGCCTCTTTTCCGTTCCTTTTCTCTTTTCAGGCCACAGTACACCCGGTTGGTAGGTAAATAGTATATAGGGTTCGGGAGTGCCGAGTTGACCCCTAGCAGGTTAGGTTAGTGTAAATAGTATGTGTTGCGGCCGGCGGTTTTCCTTAGCCTGAAAAGGGCATAGTTTAGGGTGGTAGTTGAGGTCAAAGAAGTGAAAGACTGGCGAAAAAAAATTTGGAAAAAGAGCGAAAGAGAGAGAGAGACAGAGAGAGTAAGGGAGAGAGAGAGAAAGAGAGAGAGAGAGAGAGAGAGAGAGAGAGAGAGCGGGAGACTGATTTTTTGTATTTTGGTATTTGGACCCGGAAATTCGGGCTAAAGTAAGTATTCTTCAGGTTTCAAATCCGATCGAAGGTATCGAAATTAGTTTCAGATGGGCTAGTCAATAAAAACTATATCTACATCCAATTCAATGTTAAATAGCACTTAAATTAACAAAAATTGGTGGTTTAAAAAAATTAGGGTTTGAGATGGCAGGGTGAACTTAGCTCTGAACCAAAAAAAAAGCTATGGAGACGACTCAGAAAAGCCTTTTACGCTGTAACTTTATTTCATATTCAGACCCCGCCCACGAATTACTCATATTTCATGTGATGACTCAAAGTTAAACTCATATTAAATGTATAGAAAAATTCGGAAAATCCGGAAAACTGGAAAATAACTGTTCTGGATCCCGCCTCCGCCGTTTGAACCCAAGCTGCCTATAAATCAGCCTTTGGCCGCATACGGTTTAGTTTTCGTGCGTCCGTCGGGTGCAAAACCATTTGGTTTGCAAATCTACACGAATAAATATATGAAAAAACCAATAAAACCGATTTCTAGGGTCAGAATAACGAGATGCGGAAACCGGGGGCGGACGTTCGGTTCACTGCGTGCAGATTCGGGGAAAATGGAACGCCTTCCTTTTTGGGAAAATATTTTAAGGGAAAAACTTTCAATTGGTTTTTTAATTTTGTTAATCTGCGCCGGTAGAAACGATTTGGAAAGAATTGAAAAAACATGGATAAATTAAAAAGAAAAATACAGGGTGTCCCAAAAAAAAAGCACCCCCCTAGCGGTCCGTAGGAATGTCCGATTTGAATGATTTTTTTACCATTCGAAAGCTCTCGAAACGGCGAGAAAACAAGCAGTTTTAGTTTTTCGACTTTTTCTTTTTAGATTTATTTAAGCGAGTTTTTATTAAAAACTGCTTGATTTCGGGTGTTTTTCACGCTTGAATCTGATAATTGCATGAATTACCCTCAATTAGCATGAAGTTTCCACCTAATTTTCTTCATTCGCACAAGTGGTGGTGTGCGAAACGGGAGGTATCGTGCAGAACTTTTATTCATGAAACAATCAATTTTTGTTAAAAAACGTCTGGATATGGCCACCGTCGCAGTCGATGGTCTTCTGGACTCGCGGACGGAACTGTTGAATCCAGCGCTGGACGAGGGCGAGCGGCAAACTGTTCCAATGATGCAGAATGGAACGCTCCAGATCGGGCAGCGTTGTCGGCTTGTCGGCGCTGACTCGATCCTGCATACACGCCCAGATGCGGTAGTCGAGGACGTTCAAATCCGGCGATTTTGGCGGGTATGTGGCCCGGTCCAAGAAGTCGAGGTTGCGATTAGCGAACAGAGCCAACGTATCGCGAGCCCCGTGCGCTGGAGCCCAGTCCTGGACAAAAACGGCGTCTCCATTTGGGTACAGCCGCCCGATCTCCGGCAACGCGTGAGTGCGGATGAGTTGTCGGTACAGAGGCCCATCGACATTCCCGGCGGTCGGAAAATGTAAAGGGCTAGCTTGCCACGAGCCGATACGGCTCCCCAAACGTGGAGACTTGCTGCGTACTGATGACGCACGGAAATAAGCCGGGATGGGTCGACGCTGTTCTTCTTGCCAGAGCCGTACACGATGTCATTGCGACGGTTGAGCGGAGCGTGAAGATAAAATCTTTTTTCGTCGGAGAACACCAGCCGATCGACGAAGTTGGGGGAGAGCAACGGGAGAACGCGTCGGCAGGCGTTTTTTCGGTTCAGCATCTGGCGCGCGACCAAGTCGTGAACCGGCACCCCGAAAACCCCTCAGGCCGAGCTCCTTGGCTGCTCGTGCAACCGTTGATTTCGGAAGGTTGAGGGTGACCGCCGCTGCACGGATGCTTGAGTGCGTACCAGGCTCGTCGTCATCACTAATGATGAGGTCGGCGATGTCCTGCTTCACGACGTCGGTTAGGCGTCGAGGACGACCGCTTCCCTGTTTCCTTCCAAGATGCCGGTTCTTCTGAGTTAATGTTTTTGTGTCTTGCCGCTAGCACTCACTTTGAACGTTAGAAGCACTTTCTTGATTTGGGAAAGGTTAATCTGGATCGGTGGTCGAGCTCGCTTGAATTCAGACTCGATGGCCCTTGCTCCAAGACCGCGATGACGGTGGTAATGGAGTATCACGGTCTTATGGGACGGTGATACACGTACCATCACCTCCCGTTTCGCACACCACCACTTGTGCGAATGAAGAAAATTAGGTGGAAACTTCATGCTAATTGAGGGTAATTCATGCAATTATCAGATTCAAGCGTGAAAAAACCCGAAATCAAGCAGTTTTTAATAAAAACTCGCTTAAATAAATCTAAAAAGAAAAAGTCGAAAAACTAAAACTGCTTGTTTTCTCGCCGTTTCGAGAGCTTTCGAATGGTAAAAAAATAATTCAAATCGGACATTCCTACGGACCGCTAGGGGGGGGTGCTTTTTTTTTTGGGACACCCTGTAATGCATGAATGGAAGGCAAAGTGTGCTTTCGAAAAATTTATGATTGGAAATCAGGGTCTTTTGATTGATATATTTTTTTTAGTTATATAGACCGCAAGAGGGCCTACCAAAACGCTGCTAGACATCACAAATTTTCGAACACATCAAAATTGAATGAGAAGGGAATTTCCACCTAAACAAAACAAAAGTGATGAATACCCCTTCGGCTTTCGAATTTTTATGGACTAGCATTACATCTAAATTCTGAATATATAATATTGATCAAGAGTATGAGTAACTGCAACTGACTTTTTGGAATCCTTGCCCTTTTTCAGATACAGAGCCCAATTATAGGCATTTCAACCAATTCGAGTTGTTGTTTCGTCTTTTTTGTAAATTTTCTGGCCGTATTCAGTTAATTTTAGTCTATTAAATTCTAAGTTAGAATATCGGTGAAAAATAAACATGAAATCTAGCAAAAAAAGGTTGGACCAGTTTTAGATATCCACGTAGGGTTCGGTAAATTTCGTTCAAGATAAAACGGGCTTTTTGAAAAACTAAAAAGCTAAAGATTACATAAAAAATTTAGGTAAAAATTCAGTCTTTTTCAAAATTCTTCAAAATTTCAGAACGCCTAAAAGCCCGCAGGAATGGGCTACCGAAAACATCGCATCGGTCCGGAATGGAGGAGAAATGCCAGATCAGAGCTTCACAAAACCCAGACGGACTAGTGCACGGTCTATGCATTAATGGGAAAATAGGACCGAGAAGTTGAGATAGATCATGTGAATAGGACCATGATAAGCCGCTTTCCAGGAAAAGTCCAAAAAGTTTCAGGACCTGCCCAAAAAATCGGTCACAATGATGTCACTCCCTAGCTTGGATGTGCCCATCCTAGCCACCCTCTCTCACTTTATACAACCCATCCCAGACTCGAAGGGGGCGCGGGCGGGGCATTAGGCAAATGATACGGTAGGGGGGGGGGGGGCTGGGGAGCGGGAGTTCAGCTGGGGTCGTTCCGGGACCACGCTTTCCACTGGCTCATCGTACCTGGGGAGGCCCTACCCTCTCCGAAATCGCGCTCCCTCGCATCTTCCTGCACCTCCCCCGCGCACCTCGATCCACGTTCTTTTTTTCTCCGGGAATGACCGATGGTATCGCATTGCTCTGAGGCCCATCCTCAGCCCTGCGCCTCGAATCGCCAGCCCCCAACAAACAGATTTTTGCACAGACCCATCATCTGCTGCGGCGGGGGAGAAAGAGGCCGTGAAGAGTTTGATTCGGGGGGAATTGCCGGGCCTAAATATAGCCTGAATTTTTCCTGGGATGAGCGCGAGCTTTTTCGAACGCCTCTTTGGACGGATTTCGAGTTTATTTCCGTACACATTCGACATCTTCAAACTTTTCTACAATTCTTCATTTTCTAAACATTTTCTGATCTGGGGGCAGAACCATATCAAGAAGCCGAAAAAATGCCGAAACTACCATAACCAAGAGGGACGATCAAAAAGTATATTGCTGTTTTTTGGCTTTATTTTTTTACGACGACATGACTAAGATTAAAATTAGCCTAATTTTAAAAATTCCAATTTTCTCTTTCCTGAAAATAGACCAAATCGTCGAGTCTGCCATATCCACAAAAAACCGACAAAACCAACGAAAAAATGCCGACGAGATGGAAAATATCGACGCCGAGAAAGACAGTGGAAGCCTAACGGTTTGGGGCGTGACTACAGTACTTTTTGTGGAATAAAATTTAATCTGTGATGATAAAAATGTTGTTGATAAGAGTTTGCGGGATTTCGACGAAGCTATTTTGACATAATCCGAATTGTCAAAACGATAAAAAGGGTTCCAGGATTAGAGTATATTATTAAAGGGAAAAACCTACCGTCTTCGGGATAGAAAAGCTAGCAGATCCTCGTTAGGACCTGGCCAGTTTTGCCGAGTAATTGACAGTACGTTAGTTTAAGTCACAGTAATCCTACTTTTTCAGAATTTCCAGAAAAGTTCCGGCGAATGCGCATTTGATAATGCCATAAAACCTTGTATACAGCTTTTCCAAGACCAGCTAGAGCACTTTTGGTTGAAAATAAACGCAAAATTTAAAAAATGTGAAGGTTTAGAAAGGATGGCAAAAACAGCTCTTTAATGCAAAACTATACAAGACATATCCTGAATTGCCGGTTTCTGCTTGCTTCCGACCAGATATGCAACCAAGAAACCAGCCGCAAAATTGCGAAACAAAAGACAAGCGGGAAATAAAATATTTTGGTCTTATCTTGCGGTCAGGCTGAGGCTAGCTGGTCGTCTTATTGTGTTTGTCCTTTAAAGGACCTTTTAAAGGGCGTCCTGTGTTGTATTGCGTATTTATGTCCTCTTTCCCCCTTTTGGCAACCGGTTGCATTGTTTACAGCATTCACCATAGAAGATAGTATCATCACATCAGCGTATTGCGACCACCATGTGGCTCTGACATATCGCCTCGGGGGCAATTAATTGGGATCAAGGGTCGCCGTCTCTCTCTCTCTCTCTCGCTCTCTTTCACAATGGCTGATCTAATCAGTCAACCGATCTATCGACGTCATGCATGCAAATCGGTTCTCTGTAGCCTGTAACTTGATCGTTCTTTGAAGCCGGATGGAACTTGAAATTTGAAAGAAACATGGAACCTGCTAGTTTAAGCAAAATTTGATTTTGTTCTCAGAAAGGATAGAGCGTAAACGTCCTTCAAGCACGTTCGCACATTAATAACACCAATTACCGTATCCATTGTTACAAGACTTGAATCTTTATAGTTGTTTCGTTTAATTTGTAGTTAGTTGAAGAGACTACCGTAACCCTGGCCTCTTCCATTGGCGTTGGTTTTTCTGTAACTTTGGGCTCAACAATGTCTGACCAATGGTAAATACTTGTCGGCAGGGCTTCTCTCTCTCTCTCACTCTCTCTCTCTCTTTTTCTCGCTCTCTCGCTCTCACTCTCGCTCCCTCTCTCGCTCTTCGCTCACTTGCGCTCGCTCTTTCTTCCCTCTAAATAAACCTTGAAAGCTGCACTTGGGTAAGCCCTTCACAAATACAGTACCTGGCAGAGGGGTCCTCAAATTACATTTCTTTCTCACTCTCTCTCTCTCTCTCTCTCTCTCTCTCTCTCTCTCTATCGCTCTCTCTCCCTCTCTCTCGCCCTATTGTTTGACCGACCAACGAAAATCAGGTCCAGACCGATTCTTCCTCCTTTTTTCAACCTTTTCCGGTGCTCTATTTAATGAGCAGTGGGTGGAGGATTGTATGCGAGTGGTTTCGTTGATCTTCAAGAATTCAGCACGTGTCTGGCAGAATGGATAGCCACTCACACGTTCACTTTCTACAATGTGGGAATTTCAGCGACAGGGCGAATGAAAAGTTCATGGAGACTGCAAATCAGGTGATCGTTCATAGTCAATTTGCGTAGTCAGCCGGCAACAGAAAATTGGCGATAATGTTCCCAAATGATCTTTGCTAGCTTGTGCTTGATCGCAATACTTCAAGAAACTTCAAACCAAAAACCAAATTGGCGTTCCCCATTGTTTTCAGGGCATTATCACGGTTATTTTTCAGCACAGTTTTCCGCCCGAACACCTCATTACAGCCGACCTACCGTACCTGGTCCTGCCTAGCCGGGGCCTGAACGCCGGTGGTCAGACTAATCCCGGAAAAACCACAAAAAATCTGCCGTTAATGACGTCGCATCGCGGGGGCCTGGGAACCCCCAGCATCCGATGTTTTCTAAAGTGCGCCCACCGACTTTTTAAGCGGCTTATGGCGTTTTGAGTGAGGATGGGGTGAGTCAGGCTATTGTGTTGATTCAGCAATACGGAAAAGAGCACAGGGCGACCAGTGAAACAGCCGGCGGGTCGAAAAAGGAACATTTTTGCTGTAACGCATTTTTAAAGGGACTCGCAAGTCGAAAAAATAATTTTTGTAAAAATAACACTAGTAGATATCTTTACATTTTTTGCTTTTAACTATCCAATTGCATCTCTCATGCTTACTGTTGCTCTCTATCTCTCCCACTCTCTTTGTCTCTGTATCTCTCACTCTCTCTCCCTCTCTCCCTCTCTCTAGCTCTCTGTGTTTCTATCTCTCTTCCTCTCTCTCTCGCTCTCTCTCACTCTCTCACTCTCTCTCTCTCTTCTCTCTCTCTCTCTCTCTCTCTCTCTCTCTCTCGCTTCTCCCTATCTCGCCTTGAATTCATCATTTATTCGTGACAATCAACACATAAACGGGGATCTTCGCAATTTCAGCGGTGTTTGTGACAAAATTCGTATACATCATGATATTGTACGGAATGCTGAAACTAAGTCATTTTGGTAGATGATTTATGAACTCACTATTGGATAACCTTAAAATAGGCGGTGATAGCTATCGTTTCCACCAAAATATAGGTGAAGGCGATGGCCAGGCGGGTGTCGACGTTAATCTTGAGACGGCTCATCGCGGCCTAAAATTTTAGGTTAGGTTTGAAAGGGACTAGGAAGTATCGTATGGACGTCAGGGCGACTACGCGCTACGTCAAAAAACGGATACAGGCTTAAAGTTAAGTAAGTTAAGGCTTTAAATTTGTGAAAATCGGCTCAAATTTTACGTGGAGGTGCACAATCATATTGACAATTGTCAATACCTAGTAAAAAGAAGGGGTCGATTCTGAAGGTCACGCGCTTCTTTAAACGCTTAGAAAATGCAACTATTACTTACCCTCCGAACTGATTCTCCAGTCCTGTTCGTCATCGGGTCGACGATAAAAACGGCTGATGGCGAGATGGTCGAAGGAGCTAGATAGTAAAATTCAGTTGAAGCATGTCTTTTCTTGCCTCCTTTGCTAAACCGAGGCGCCGCAGGTGAGGTCTTGCCTAAAATCTTCATCTTGTACAGCTTGTAGATGATGGCGGCGTCGGTGAGGAATAACATGAAGAACATTACAATCTGGAATTTAGCTTATATCACTCACTTGCTCTCTGCCTCTCTGCCTCTCTCTGCCTCTCTCCTTCTCTCTCTCTCTCTCTCTCGGTCTCGCGCTCGCTCTCGCTCTCTAGCTCTCTCTCCCTCTTTCTCCCTCCCTCTCTCTCCCCCTCTCTCTATCTCTCTCTCTCTCTCTCTCTCTCTCTCTCTCTCTCTCTCTCTCTCTCTCTCTTGCCTTCTATCTCTCTCTCTCTCTCTCTCTCTCTCTCTCGCTCTCTCCCTTCTATCTCTCTCTCTCTCTCTCTCACTCTCTCTCTCTCTCTCTCGCTCTCGCTCGCTCCTTAGCTATTTCTCGCTTACCTTCAGCCAGTAATCGAACAGCTCAAAGTTATTCTCCATTTCTTGCTTTTCAGGTAATATGTTCCAATAGTATCCAGGAATTTGGTAGACCAAACAATTACACAGGGTTTCGTAGAGTGTAGTGTGAACTGAAAAAAGTTATTGATTACTGCGAAGGCGACTGTTTATGTAAAATTTACCCAAAAATGAACCTGTAAATACCTAGAAAAACCGCACCTGTAGCTAACAGAATAGCAATCCCGATGCAAAAGCCAGACTTCCACCTCGTGAAGCCACGATAATGCCCTGGGGTGTAGATCGCGATTAATTGTAGGATGGAAATGAGGCAAAAAATGTATGTCTGCAGCCAGGTGCGGATCAGCTGTATGAACATGAACAGCTCGAGGCCGATCTCGCCTAAAATCATGGAATCACTAGATTTTAGGTTCTAAAAGCGGTCGTCTGCTACCGAAAATTGGGCAAATTATTTTGCCATCAAGAAAAATTTAAAAAAATTTTTTACCGAACGTCTCGAACTCGGCGATTTTTGCCGCATAGTCGTGCGCCGTCGCCAAGATGATGAAAACCATATCGACTACGACGAGCAACAAATTACACGCGCTCAACGGGTTGTGGTCCTGAAGGAAATTAGATTACGGTAGCCATACCAAAACTAGCATTTGACTTTTAACTTTTTTAAAGAACTTCTGGCCTTTATTAAATAAATAGTTCTTTGAAACTTTTAAAAGACCAAAAACATGCAAAGCTATGTCAATTCCAACAGGCTACAGAACGCTACTCTGCCGTACGCTACCGTAAGCTAATGCACGCAAATTTCTAACTTACAGGCTGCTTCAAAAGTCGTCGAAGTGCGTAGTAATATGCGTACATTATAATAAAACGTATCACAAGCTCGATCCATTCAAGGACGGAAATTTGCATTTCTAAATTCTAATTTTGCTACCAAAACAGAAATCAAAAGACGAAAATTCAAGAGAATTTTTAGGCAAAAAGTCATATTTTCGAAAAGTTAGTGTTTGGGAATGTTTTTCCCAGCCGCACCCAGGGAAGCGGAAGAAAAATTTTTGGTACCGTAAAGCAGAAAGCTAAAAAATGGCGCGGAATTTATGTGGTCGGGCAAACTTGTCGCGAGAATTTCTGAATTAAGGGTACATGGTTGTGGGAATTTTTGCATCTGTTGCCGTGTTGTGAAAACACGTTTGCGCACCCACGCTTTATTACGAGACCCCCGACAAGGTTTTTAGGCTAGACTAGCCTGTACTTAGTACCACTTTGGACGCGTGGATGCCTTGTGACAGCTGCCGATTCTCGCAAAAAACATTGTTTTTAACGTTCAAATGATTATTCCAATCTAAGCAAATGGTACTAGTCTTTTAGCGGGGGGCAGCCTTTTGTAGTAATCCTTGGCGGCCCTATAAGAACATATTAACCGTTTTATAGCATTGGACAGCGTTTTTCAGATGCAAAAAGGAACTAAAATGGATAAAATTTTTCATTAAAAATATGAATTTTGCGAAAAACTGCCCCGCAAATCAACCAATTTTTTCAAATTCCAAGTTTTTGCATATTTTTTAAATTCCTGAATTTCGAGAATTACCAGAAAAAACATAGTACTATTAGCAGATAGGTGGGTTTGGGCCAAAAGAATCTGCCTCCCCCTTGCTAGCTGTTCAGTACCAAGAACAAACAAGACAGCGATCAAACTGCAGGGAACTGCAAAAATACAACGCACTATCATTACAGATTAAGTTTTTGAATTGGTATCATAATGTAGAAATTTCATAAAGTCGAAATTTGATACTGTCGAAATTCAGAATGTCGAAATTTCATAATGTCGAAATTCAGAATGTCGAAATTTACATAGGCTAATATTACCGGTTAAACCGCCAAAACCTAGCCAAAAAATTTTTTCGACATTCTATTTTTTTATCTTATTGCACGACAACATTTTTTTGCCTAGAATTCGGGGAATTTTAGCTTATGTAAATCTTCATATTCTGAATTTCGACATTCTGACATTTCGACATTATGAAATTTCGACATTATGAATTTCGACATTTTGAAAATAAGCCTAAATTTTTATATTTTTGCTCTTGTCATTGAGTTATTTTGCCGGCAATTCAGGGCCGACGCAGTCAAAAATTCAGCGTAATGAAAGCAGATGGGAAACCAACCGAAAAATAATTGTTTTTCGAAACCATTAATTTTCGACTTGAGCCCAGTTTTTACCATCAAAAATCTTGGAGAATCGACGTTGCGTGAAAGTGGTGATATTGGATGTGTTCTTATCGTATCCAGATACGCTTCGCGTTCCTAGGTAAATATTTTTCGTTGGTGGCTTTGGGCGTTACTCGAGGGAGTTAAGGTATCCATTTTCTTCGTCCTAAATCTTGCCAATTTCAAGATCAAAATTCGTAAGCAAGAAAGGGATAGGGGAGGAGAGGAGAGAGAGCGAGGGAAGGGGAGAGAGAGAGAAAAAAAGAGAGAGAGAAAGAGAGAGCGAAAGAGAAAGCGAAAGTGAGAGAGAGAGAAGAGAGTAAGCGGGATAGAGGATAGATCGAGAAATATAGAGATATCAAGTCGCGATTCCCCGACTTTCGGACTGCAACATACCTTTAAAAGCAAGTTTCTATGTTATTTCCCCCGGTTTCCGCTTTGCGTACATCACGCACCGATCTTCCCCGCGATGGCGACTCACACTTCAGAGATTGCGACGCGGAGATGGACGACCGTTTTTCAGGACGCCCAATTTCAGGCCGCGCAACAGTAATCTCACGTAGCCATCGCCGCCCATCCTCGATCCGCCCTTTTACGAAGAGCGATCGAAAAGCCGTCCGGAAAGCGCGAATTTGGACTCCGGATCGACATTTGTCTCGAGTCGATTTTTTTTTTGAATCACTTTATGATGCAAAGAAAGACTGCTAGTCTACCCAAATATTATTTTAAAGGCCAGAAAAAACTATCTTAAGGAATTCTGATTTGATATTAGTTTATTTTATACCGGATTTGCTATTATCCATAATTATTATTCTATTAGCTTTGGCTTTCGAAAAGTTAAGGTTCACCAAAAGCCTCGGCTAGCTTGGCCTAGCAACTCGGGTTTTGGCCACTGCAGGAATCACTAGATGGAATTCCGGTCACTTCGCCTAAATCCGTTTCGCCTAAACCCGTTTCGCCTAAACCCATATCGCCTAAAACCCGTTTCGCCTAAAACCCGTTTCGCCTAAAGCCCATTTCGCCTAAATCCCATTTCGCCTAAGGCCCATATCGCCTAAAACCCGTTTTGCCTAAACCCATTTCGCCTAAATTTTGGTCATTTTCATATATAAATTTTTGACCAAAAAGTCGGCCATTTTCGAATCTTTATAATTTTTATTTTTATTTTTTTATTTTTATAAGATTTTATAGAGACTCCTTGAAATTCTTCATTAAAAGCTATGTAATTGGCTTCATAACGTCGTTTTTGACAAGAAATTTGCAAAATTATGTTTAGAAAATCCTAAAACACTTACAAGTATTGCGAAAAATGGTAATTTTTTGGTAAAAAATGCAGCAGTGCAAACGGTCAATAATTTAGGCGAAATGGGTTTAGGTGATACGGGTTTTAGGCGATATGGGATTTAGGCAAAATGGGATTTAGGCGAAACGGGTTTTAGGCGAAACGGGTTTTAGGCGATATGGGTTTAGGCGAAACGGGTTTAGGCGAAGTGAATTTAGGCGAACTGGCCGTCACCCCACTAGATGGCCCTAACTTTGTCAAGAGGCTCCACTGAGGGCTTATTTTTGTTTTGGTGAAATCTAATTTTTTCCAATATATCATTTTGTCGAAATATCATTTTTCAAAATGTCCGTGTGATTTTCGCTAATTGAAATTTCAGGGCCTCTAAATTCCGACAAAATGATATGATATGATGACAAAATGATCTCATCCGAGATTGCGATTTTGAATGATCTGTGCGAGTCGACGATCCTCCGGGTGTTAGTTTCAATTTTCAAAGAATTTCTGCTAGCTTGCCCTAACCTGTCCCTAGGTTCCTTCCAGATTTTCTAATTTGAAATGATCTCTGCTATTTTTCCAGGCTCTGCAAGTTAGTTTCGATGCTCGAAAAATCTCTGCTAGTTTGCCGTAATTTATTGTGTTTCAGGCACTGACTTATGCCAATGTTTGCAAAAATCAATACCCCAGAAAAACGGTCCGTGCTCAATTTTTGAAATTTATTAATTCAATTTTTTTGACAAAAAATTAGGGTCTTTACGAATCGAGTAAAGTAAACCTTTTTTGGCTTCCTTTTCGTCTAGTTCCGACTCATCCTTTGCCGTCTCCGGCATCTCAACCCCTACCAAATCTTGTACTTCGAATTCCCTAAAACATCTCCGGCCACCGTTTTTCCAAAAAAGAACTGTCTATAGGCCGGACACGAACTTATTTTGGTGTTTGTCCGGCTCGGTAGATTTTATCTGCCCTTGCCACAGGGCACGTCCATGCCATTCCCATGCGGCGGCCCCCGCCGTATCCCCCGGAATTTTCAGTTTTCCGCGCCAAAAGCATCCCGGAAGAGCACTAGGTGGCGAGCGTAGTTGCATTCTGGATATGTCGCCAAAATAACTCCCTTCAATTCGCGATTTTTAATATTTTTAAGGTACCATTAAAGCACAGTTCCAGCATTTTTTGGAATATCGGAGGTTTCAAAGGGCTTAACTTGCGTTTAATGCTTAAAGGGATGCCCCTCCTTTTCGGGGCTCAAAAAGCAAAAACCGCGTCGCGGGCGGGGGCCGAACCTGAGACCACCGTTTTGTAGGCCTGGACGCTATCCATTAGGCCATAGTGGGAAAGGTGTCCGATTTCTGTGCGGCAATAGGCGCCCATTGGCGCACAAAATTCGCGCGTCATTTGTACTTGCCGGAATACATAACTATACCTTTGCCGCCAAAACATTGGGTATCCCTTTAACTTGCGGCGGTTTTTAGGATTAGCATAGAAAACAACATTCAGAACTCGAATTTTCGAAAATTTTTTTTCTTGGGAAAATTGATTTTTAAATAGGTTACTTCGAAAAATCATTTTTAAAGCTATCTTGTTTTAATAAAAATCCTGTACCACGTTGAATTTGCAGCAACATGCGGATTTCGTGATTTATTTTTAGTTTACATATTTCATGTGTTTTTATTTTTAATCTCTACATTCATGGCGTCACAATAGATTTTATTGTCATATTTTTAGGCTAAGCCATGAAGAAAGACCTCAAATATGCTGCTATTATCATTTGTTCTCTGATCGGCTGCCTGGCGCTGTATAAAAATTGGGAATTTAAGAAAACGGAAGGTACGCATTGTCATCATAATTTAATTTGCACACTTTTAGAAGTATTTTATTTCACCGCATCAGATTTGGAAAATGATGAGTTTCACGATTTTCGGCCTTATCCATATTCTAAAAGTGTGGAGATTCAGAGGAGTAATGAAAGTACGTTTTATTGGAGACGAAGCGACAGCGAGAAAGAGAGAGAAAGAGTAAGAGAGAGAGATAGAGAGAGATAGAGAGAGAGAGAGAGAGGAAGAGAGAGAGAAATGCTAATCTACATTTTTTAGCAGCAAAAATCCCAATCGCTATTGTTATAATGGTCAAGGATAGTTTCAATGATGAGAATTACCGAATAGCGGTGAACTCGATTCGCTGCTATGCGGAGGTAATTCAATTGTTATTTATTTAAAATACAAAATTATTTTCATAAATCCATAAGCAATTTTTTTTATATGAACAAATCGTTAAAAACGAAATTCTAGGTCCAAGAATATGCCTATTTTTACATCGACTACAGCAAAAATCAGACGCTGCAGAAGATGTGTCCGCAAGAAGACGTGAGTCCTGCTCTTGCTCTCTCTCTCTCTCTCTCTCTCTCTCTCTCTCTCGCGCGCTCTCTCTCTATCTCTCGCTCTTTCCGTCGCTCTCTCTCATCCTTTTTCAGTTCCTCTTCGCTCGCCATTGCATCATGGTCGATTTAATGAAACGAGAACCATACGATTGGTTCCTATTTTTCGGCGCTGACAACGGAGTCATCAACCCAATCCGAAGGTTTAAAATTTGCATATTTTAAAGAAACTGTAAAATTTAGGATCGAAGAATACATTCCCGAAGAGCCTACTGTAAATGTGATGTTCTACAACCGTTTTTATAACGACGAGATTATGGCCGATTCGTATTTGATACGGTAAGGAACCGTTTTTTAATTAGTTATTAATTCTGCCGTTTACCAAAAAATTTAACTAGATTGCGTACGTTTAAGTCGTGTATTTTCAGAAACACCCAACAATCCTATGATTTTCTTAACCTATGGGTGGAATATTACAACATTACGAAAGACTACGAATGCAGTGGAACGGATAATGGCGCGATTCAGGTCGGAAATACCTGTCATTCTTGAATAACCCTTTTAATTCATAGTTGTATAATACAAACTATTCAACTTAATCAATCAGCTTTTTTACTTAATTCTAGGCCGTAGTGCTCGAGTTCTTCGCGCCGGAGCTGAACCGCTGGAACACGTACTGTCAGAAGATGTGGTGGAGGGGAAAGTGCGTTTTTTAGGAAGAGGAGAAACGGAGAGAGGGAGAGAGCGAGAGAGAGAGCGGAGATAGAGAGAGAGCGACAGAGACCGCGCGAAAGAGGGAGTGAGAGAGAGAGTGAGCGAGTGAGAGGGTGAGAGCGTGAGAGCGTGAGAGTGAGGGAGAGCGGGAGAGAGCGAGATAGAACCAAGAGAATGAGCTAGAGCGAGCAAGACATCAAATTTTCAGAAAATACGCCGACCTCTTCCTCTACGAAGCTTGTGCTCAATATTTATTAGCTCAAATCCCGAAAGAAGTGCTGACTCAGAGAGGCTTTAAGTTATACGAGAAAGGTGTGTTTTGAAGTTGATTTTTGGTATATAATTTTAGCATCTAAATCCCTGAAATTATTTTGAGGGTTTAACTTTTCCTACAGGGTCCGAAAAATTAGTTAAATATTTAAAACCCACTGCACTCTGGGGATGATAGGAGCATCAAGCCCAGCTCTCAATCGGGACAGGCATAGTTCCCCGTTCCTCTTTTTGAGTCTTCCCGCCCACGTGGGGACGTCAACCAACTCTTTTTTCTCGGCCACGTCATCGTGTAATATGCAAATAAACTAGCGAAAAATCGAAAAGCTGGAACAGGTTAAACAACTTGTCAATTTCCAGGCCAAGGCTGGTCCCGCGATGGCTGGGTGACCGGGACAAGGTGGTGCGAGCGGGATTTGTTCTTCCATGGCTGGAAGAAAGAGTACGTAAATGTCCAAGAGCAATTCAAATGACTAAATTTAAAATTGATTTTCCTGGCCAGACAAACCCGCGAAATTATCTAAATGGTATGAAAGGTGAATTTTTACATTGAAACTCTCGTCTCAATTAACGATAAAACAGTTTAAAACGTATTCTAAAAACTGAAAAACAAAACTAAGACGTTGATTTAGCAAGGTACTTGCAAAGCGACGGATTTTTGTTTGTTGTTTCCATTTCTAGAGTAATTTTACAAATTATTGGAGTTTGGCTATAAAACAAACAGAAACTTAAGAAGAAACCCGTTGGTTAAAAATCAGTAAATTATTTTTATCGTGATTTTATGCTATACAAAGAATCATTTTTTACAGAAAATTAAACACCGAATGGAAGCTTCCGTTCATCGCTGACGACTTTTTCGACAAAACATGTACGCCGGGAGAGTTCACTAGGTGGAAGTAGGTCTAAAAGGGCTATATTTCTACCGTATCCTAGCTACAATTCCCACTACAAAGCGGACTGTCTTGACGTTGATCTGGAGATGCACGTCTTTTTCGAGGAGGCCAGACGAAAATATTATAAGGCGCTGCGAAAGCTGCGCCAGCTGGAAATGTTCCCGACCAAAATCTATGAAAAATACGGGTTGTGATTTTTCATTATAGGATGTACATAAATTCATTGGATCTCAAGAAGCGAAGAAAAATAGATAATACCGCAAACTACACACTCTCTTACTATCTCTCTCTCGCTCTCTCTTCTCTCTCTCTCTAGCTCTCTCTCTCTCTCTCTCTCTCTCTCTCTATCTTTCTCTCTCACTCTTTTTCTCTCTCGCTATTTCTCGCTCTCTTTTTCTTTCTCTTTGCAGTCACCATTTTGCATTTATCCATTTCTAAATAGATTTCTTCTTTTCTATTTCAAAATTCCGTACCTCACCGCCACGCCGTGCGCTTTCCAAAAGTTGTTGTCGAGCACCATGCACGCGACGATTTCGACAACCCGTGCAAAGCCCTTTTCGCCGACCCAAAAATCCGCTCTCAGCGTTGAAAAATCAAAACCTCAACACGCGCAAATCGGCTGATCATCGAAGAGCGTGGGCCCGCTGAGCGCCGATTTGCATAATTTCTGACCGAGACCAGGAATGGGTTTAAAATACCCCAGGAGAACGGGGGAATACGAGAATTCTCGCCCACTCTGCACAACCTCGTGATGTTTGTCAGCATCACAACACTCATTTTCTATTTTTGCCTTTTGGATTTTGGCCTGGGCGTCGATCAACTAATTTTTGTGCAAACGGTGGGTACGGTGGATTGGTTTTCGCGAAGTTAGCTACCATGCACTACGCGATCTTGCGTAGAGTTAGCGGAACTTGCGTAAATTTTCGAACTTTGCGTGGCGTTGTGTTGCGCCACTTTGTTAACAGTGCTGCGTCTCTGTATCTAAAATGTGGAAGGACATTTTTTTGCAGCTTAGCTCCGTAGCATTCAGTTGCCAATGGTTGCGCAGCATTTCGTAGCGCAACGTAACGTAGCTAATTATTGCCAAGTTTTTGCATATTTCACCAGGGTTGAAAAGCCGCTTCGCGACTTTTCAACCCTGGCCCCGTCTCGGACCCCATACTATTCTGCCCTTTGCATAATTGTCCTCCATTCAGAAGACAAAAAAAAATGAAAAACAACCCTTTCTGCCTCTTTATATAGGCGACGGCCCACTTCCGGTCTATGCTAATTCTTCCTAACAAAGAGGTTTTTACAAAACCCTAAATTTAATAGCGACAATGGCTAATTTTTAAAATTCTGATATGTGTGCAGCCATCCCTAGACCATTTCGCACCTAATGACGTATCATACGTAGCCTAATACCCGTCCCTTCCTGAGATATCCTCCGGACAGACAGACGGAAGTGGATGCAAAGTGGCACACACACACAAACACACACACACACAGACACTATTTTTTTATATATAGTAGGATTTCGGTGCGTAGTGATTTTCCGCTCTGCGTAGTGTTCTGTACCATTGCGTATTCTTGCGTACGCGTGTGCCGATTAAGCAATGGTAGGTAGCGCTACAGGGTTAGCGTAGCGTTGCGTTGTGTTGTTCTGGTTAAGATACGTACGGTAGAATTACGTCATTGTATTGCATGACGTAGCATCCTAAAGTGTCACAGAACGTTTTGCCACGCTGTCATTACGTAACATGACGCCGCGCTATCTGGCGGAGTGGTGCTAAGATGTTGCGTAAAGTAGAATCACGTAAGGTTGCGTCAGATCGCGTAGCGTAACTTAATTGCGACCGGGATCAGTTGAAATAAAAGCTCTTTATTATTCTGATGTTTTTAGGTCTGGCGCCACGGTGACCGTACCCCAGTTTGGGACTACCCCGGAGACCCGAATGCCGATTACAAGTGGCCGGTTGGGCCTGGCGAGTTGACGCCGGTTAGTTTTTTTTTAAATTACAATTACCAGTTTGGCTTAGCTAAGGCATAATCTGAAACGCCATGCTGAAATTTAGCGCGGCGAGGAGCAACACAAAGTGCTGGGCGGCATCTTCCGGCAGCTGTACGCCACCGGCCAGAACTCCTTTCTGAATCCAAATTATGATGAGAAAGAGGTATTGATTAATTCCGAAAAAGCTCCCTAGACCTATAAATTTGCCAAAATCATAGCGACAAACTACAAGCTATAAAAAAAATGAAACCGAGATAGAGCAGAAAATTCAAAAAGTTAATGAGATATTTTTGCCTCAATGTGAGAATACCTTCCGAAGCAAATTTTTCCATTTTGATTTATAGAAATTGTTACGTTTGCAAAATACACTCTGTAAACGCTACAAACTACGACTTGTTTTTCGCAGATTTACATCCGGTCCACCGAAATGCCGCGAGCCATAGATTCGGCAAAAGCTGATATGCAAGGCTTCTTCCCGGACCTGACGGCCGGAAACGTCGAAGAGTAAGACCCGGTTTTTGCCGTGTCATTTTCCGTTTTACAGACCGGCTTACCGTTCCAGAATTTCAATTCATACCGAGGACATCAAGACCGATTTTGTACGTATTTAGATGTAATTTTTGAAATGAATGGGAATTTTAGGCCGGCTTCCTCCCGGACTGTCCGGGCCACGATCGTGCGCTTGTTGAATATATCGATCGGATCGAGGCGCCGGTGCTGGCCAAGTATCAGGTACACTTAAAATTTTTCTTTGAAGATCAGGGATGTAAAAACAATTTTTTCGGAAAAATACCTTTACACCTTGAATTTCGAACATCCTATCCACAGGTATATAAAATTACCTTTAACCAATTCTAAAACCCAAATAATATGCGATTATATAGACGGCGACTTTGATTTTTCAGGATTTACTCGACCTCATCCGCGAAAATACTGGCCTCAACATCAGCCTGCACAACTGGGACCCATATATGATTTACGATCTTTTCCATATTCAGGTAGGTCGATCATTTTCTTACTTCTATCGAGGGCAGGCTAGCCGAGAGTCTTGCGGATTGGTGCCACGACAGAGATGCTAATTTATTCACATTTTAGAGGGACCTCTACCACATGCCAGTCCCGGATTGGTTCACCACACAAGTCCAATACCGTACCAAGCAGTTGGCCATCTGGAGGGTCGACGCGTTTTTGGGATATGGAAATCCGCACTCGGTGGAGGTGGCGAGGTTTAGAGGTGAGAGAGGGAGAGAAGAAGAGAGAGAGAGAGAGATAGTGAGCGGAGAGTGAGAGAAAGAGAAAGAGAGACAGACTAGATACAGAAAGAAAAAGAGATAGAGAGCGAGAGGGGGAGATAGAGAGAGATAGAGAGAGCGAGAGAGATATAGAGAGAGCGATAGAGAGAGAGTGAAAAAAATAAAAAATTCTCTCTGAATCCAAAATTCTAGGCGAGCTCCTCAAAGAAATGCTGCAACGTATGGATGATAAGCTGGCTTGCGCCCAGAATCCACAAACCCCAGGATTGAACTGTACCTTCCTGGCACCCTTAAAATTCTATGCATACTCAGCGGTAAGTGTAAATTCCTGAAATTTGGATTTTCTAATTTTTAGCACGGTAAATTTTGGAAATATTTTATTTTTGATTTTTTAGCACGATCTGACCGTAGCGAGCTTGCTCGCCTCGTTGGGCAGCTACTTATCGATTCCAGGTATGAAAAACGACGACTTTCAAAGGTTTCTATAATATTCAGGCCGTTTCCTGCACTATACCGTATGCGCAACGATGGAACTTTGGATGAGGGACGGGGTGCCGTATGTTAAGGTATGCATCGAAAGGCGAGATGCCCCTGGGATAAAGAGCACCTCGAGGGTAAACTCAATATATCCAAGGTTGCCACCATCTGCCTTACGAGTAGGAAAATACCAAAGCGCGCCGTGTGTAAAGTATAGAGAGTCGGTCGTTCAGTGGATTTTGGTCAAGGTTTAATGCATATGAATGTAATGCAGTTATTGAATAGAGTAAATACAAAGGGGTTTATTAGAGAACCACATAATACACCTAGAGCAATAGAGAGAAAGGGAAAGTGAGATGCGGGGAATGCACCGTCCCCTTTCGGGGACCGTTGCCCTCTCTCAGCCATGGGCCAAGCGACGAGGGAAAGGCTCAGTACATTCCCCACTAAGTGGAGAACTTCCCAAAACCTCCCCTAATCAGGGGGGCAACGTTGGTGGATCACATATGCTGGGCGTGGGACTGCTGGGCGTTCGGGTATTCCCTTTGGGAATGAATCCCGCCCGAAATTTCATGGATTTCCCTCAGAGAGGGAAATCGCCAATAAAATCGAGTGCTGCTTTCCTCGAGAGAGCCCACTCCCCTGGGGGCCGCCCTACGGTATAGGGGGCGCGCAGGGAGAGCGTTGCGGGACCACCCCCGCCTGGGCATTTCCCTCGAAAGGGCCATGCGGATTCGGGAATCCGGCATGGAACTTTCGACAGTATGGAAAATAAGAAAAAAATTTTTTTTAAGAAACTATTTTATAAAGACGCCGTTTTCTATAATAAAATAAAAAGTTCTTTTTCAGATCCTTCTACGCTCCACGCCGTGGGGAAACTTCCACGTCTTCACGCCGTTCACGCCTGGTTGCCCCGAAGCACCATTCTGTCCACTTGCCGTAAGCTTTTTACTATTTTTACTAGCCGGCAAAGATTTTTTTGAGGTTACGGTAGGGTCAGATCTGTCAAAAATTACTAAAGCAGCATAACAACAACTTTTTCAGACACTGAAAGACCGGAGCGCGCCGTACTTGCCCAAGAACATCACAGCAGCGTGCGGGATCGCGTAGTAGACATCGAAAAATGCGGTCATCAAAGCGCAACAAACGGGATCTCATATCTATAAATATTTGCTGAAAAAGAATGTCTAAAATAAATTGTAAATGAACGGGTGTAAAAACAAGAATTGAATAAAAATTAAAAAAGCGTAAAAATTTAGTTTGCAAGGTCGCAATTGTTTTGAAAAAAACAGTGTCCAAATTTATCACTTTTGGGCTACTTTCGAAGTTAAAAGCGGCGACGTCTACTCCTTCTAAAATTCGAAAATAAAATCTAAACAATCCAATCGGAAAAGCGCTCCCACTACAGTAACCCTGCGTTGACGTCGGAGTTCTTTGTAAAAAATTAGCATACGCACAAAAATCGTGCTTCGCGCTGTGTAAGTTCGACAAGCTGTTATTTGCATGGTTAGGCCTGGTGCGCGGAAGCGCTGGCTCCATCCCGCACCCCCGCGTGTACCCCAGACTAGAGCGCGCCGGCTCCAAGGCACCATTCTATCCGGACGACGGTGATGGCCGACGTGAGATTAGTCTGCCCGAATCTGGAGGCTCCTGGCTCGATGGTGCATCTTTTGCACCCCAGACGCCGGCAGAAATTTTGCAGGGATTTGCGAAAAAAAATTGGGTTCCAGGATTTGATTCCGAAGTATGCTAATAAGGATACGTTTTTGATGGGAATAAAGATGTACATTTCGTAGCCGTGGACGCCTAGTTTTCAGGGTGTCATTTGTTGCATTGCGTCCTGGTAAACTGTAGTTTTTCCTATAAATAACGATCACGAGTCTATTCGCCGTATATAAACAATCCACGGTGTTCATTTTGAGAGTAGGCCGCTGATCGCTTTCCTTATAGCATGTGGTTTTACGGGTGTGCTTGACTACACAATTCTACAGATTTGACTGAAAAAGTACATGCTAAATTCAGGTATGAGGCTTGTATTTTTACTCGCCGGTATCGCGTCCATTAATGTATGTACGGCGAGGTATTGGTTCCGCCCATCCGGGGTCAAACCGGAAGGTTTGTGGAGTTTCGATTTAAGAGATTCACGTTTTATTGATGAGGTATTTTCATAGAACCAGGGCACCAATTGCTGAGAAACTGGACGTAAAAATCTGCTAATCTGTTGCCGTTAACCTTAACAAGTATTTTTAACACACTTGACAACGCTTTAGTTTGTAGAATCCAATTTCTAGACTGCATACCGGGCGAGGAATTCCACCGCCGCCATGGTCCATGCGATCGTGAGATCTGCGGAAAATGGGGGGTAAACGCTAAGAAAACCTCAAATTCCTTTTTAGAAAAAGCCAAGAATTTTTTAAAAAATCGGTTTTTGCGGCTTTTTTTGTCAATTCAACGAAGCATTTAGTTCGCTTGCACGCGCAACCTTGTGTTCGACATTTGCCTCTGTAAGCCAGGCCTTGTAAGGAGAGCGGATGGAAGATGTACGAAACGAGAGGAATGTACGCCGGAGGAAATGCGACCGCCTCGTGGTTGACGCCCGGAATGGGTGGCTTAATTAAAGACCGTATCACCAAAAAAGGACACCGCGAGAATAAAAGAGCTGACGTCCAAAAAACATGCGACAAACAAATAGCAAAAAGCCTACGACACTCGGGATTCCCAAGCCGTCTCCGATCCAAGTACTAACCGAGCCCAACGTTGCTTAACTTGGCAGATCGGACGGGATGCCGTGCTTTCAACGTGGTATGGTCGTAGGCGAGGGTCTCGTGCTTTTTGCTGACTATGAGCTCTATTACGGATTCGCCCGGTTAGGCGTACCAGAATCCTCTTTGGTCCATACCTCGCTTGATACGAAATTTACATCCAACTTCCCAATATCACTTCCGGTGCCCCAAACTATCTCCGCCTGGCCCACTGTTTTGAATGACAGCCTACAGTACCCGTAATTGGGTACCTACCAGAAAGTGATGATCCTCGATCATGAAGGAGGTGATTCTGTGCGGAGGCCCGGCCATTGCACTCCCCGGCTGGGCTGAAGCACAACACGATCCTGGACTAAGGGACCGTGTACTTTCCAATTTTTGCGTGAGGGGTCCCAGGCGGTTGCGGGGACCCTGCTAATACCAAAACTTGCTTATTACAGTACTTGAGCCACTTGTTAGAGGGTATCGCATGATTTGTGCACTCCCTTTTAGGGGAATGCGTTCCAAAATTCGTTCGAAACACTCTTTTGAGGAGGTCTCGGGGTTAATGCTAACCTCAAACTTGGGTAATTAAACCGAAGCTGTGGAGGGGTAGGTGCTTTTCTGTCCTATCTAATGAAGAGATAGCAGTCTCTCATAGGGCAACCCTCCAAAGAGCGAGCGTCTGCTGGTTCGATACCTCCACGCTTTCGCTCTGTACGATCGGGTCGTCTTCGTCTGATACCTCTAACTCATCCCCCAACGCTTCACCCGCTCTCCCTGTTCGCCTTTCGCCTACGACCATACCACGTTGAAAGCACGGCATCCCGTCCGATCTGCCAAGTTAAGCAACGTTGGGCTCGGTTAGTACTTGGATCGGAGACGGCTTGGGAATCCCGAGTGTCGTAGGCTTTTTGTCGTTTTTAGAGGGTAAAAAGTACTTTTGGGCATTACGGCACTGTTTTTTTGTAAATCCTGCTGCGCGTAAATAGCTTTTTTTTGCTTAAGAAGCCCTAGGAAATTAGTTCATCAAATTATTCCAAAGTGTTGTATCCGAATTCTCGCACGAAAAAAATCGGAAAACCATGGAAGAAGCAGGGAAATTTGAAAAAAACGTAATTGGGATTATGTCGATTTCGATACCTAAAAAGCCATACTTTTCACGCGCAGACCAGCGACCCCTTCAGACGATCATTGTTCCGTTGAAGTCTAAAAAATCGGGCAAAACCCGCCCATCCGAATGGTCACAGTCGGCGCCTAAAAACAAAATGGGCGCTTTGCATAGATTACGAAGATTACGTCGATGAACATCAGTGTCGAATAAAAAATCTGTTCGCCTGGTGGGGTCGAATTATAATCCTTTCATGGGGTTTAAAAGGTGCTTCCCAGAAACAATGCGAACATAGCAATCACCGAAAAATGGTACTGTATTCTCGGATTTTATTACTTTCGCAAATGTGGAATTTTATTGGAGCTGAGGATCGACTTATTTTTGTTCAAGCGGTAGGTTCGACTGCGGCATAACCTTGTTATTATACGAAATGAAGCTACTGCAGTGCTGTTAATTAAAATGTCGATTTAAAAAATCCTTATTTTAGAATAGAAGTTTTAAATAGAATTTTAAAATATCTTTAAAATTGAATTTCTTTGTGAATTACAGAATGAATAACGACAGTTTCGTTAATTAAGTATGATTTTTTGTTATTTTTTTAATTTTTATTTCATAGTTGCGTTTGATAATTTTGACAATTTTCAGGTCTGGCGCCACGGAGACCGTACCCCAGTTTGGGACTACCCCGGAGACCCGAATGCAAATTATTCGTGGCCGGCCGGACCCGGGGAGTTGACACCGGTTCGTTCACGTTTATAACTAACTAAAAACGGTCTCTATACCTTAACTGCTTTTGAACATCTTTTATGATAAGCCGACTCCCACCGTTTTTGTCGGAAAATCTAGAGAATCAGGAAAATAAAAATCAAGACGATGTTTCAGCGTGGAGCCGTGCAGCACAAACGTCTGGGCAGGATTCTAAGAAACATGTACGCTTCTGGAAATCCTATTTTTCTAGATCCGAATTACAATGAGCAAGAGGTGATTTAAATCGAATTATTTCACAATCGCTTTCATTTTTTCACCCTTTCTTCAATTTTCATTTTGATTTTTCAGATCTTTCTGCGCTCCACCGCTCTTCCAAAGAGCAATTTCCTCCGCTCAAGCCGATATGTCAGGATTTTTTCCAAATCTCGGGAATGGTAGCTTACCGGAGTAAGTAAATCGGCTAATCTAAAGTTTTTGGCCTCAGATTTTACCCGTAATTAGGTGTGCCATGTACGGGATGGGTCGATTCCGCGCTTTCCGTCTCTTCAATAACCATTTCAAGCAATTTTAAAGCTTTTCAGACCCTCCTACCGAGGCCGCATCCCGATCCACACGTTTCCGGTCAAAACTGACCCGGCTTTTGTACCCTCCTGCCCGAATTACGATATTAAACAGCAAGAATATATTGACTCGATGCGACCGGAAGTGATGCGTAAATTTGGGGTACGTTTTTGAGGCAATTTCTCCGAGAAAGATTCGAGTTTTAGCACCTGATCGATCTCATCTACACCAAAACCGGGCTGAACGTGACGTTGAACAGCTTTGACCCTTATAATATCTACGATTTGTTGCATATACAGGTGAGAAAATAGAGAGAGAGAGAGAGAGAGAGAGAGAGAGAGAGAGAGAGAGAAAGAGATAGAGAATTGCACTTTCAGAGGGACATCTACCATCTTACTGTACCTGATTGGGTAACCCCACAAGTGATGTACGACCTGAAGCAGTTCAGTATCTGGAGGATTAGTACGATGGTTGGATTCGGAAGTCCACCATCTACAGAAATTATTCGATTTAAAGGTCAGTGTTTTTTTAGAGAAGCAAAAAAAATTGTTTTTCCGGCACGTTCCCTTTAAAACCAGATTTTTTCAGGTGAGTCCCCTAAAAATAGGCATATTGAAGTAGTTCTAGTCTTTCTCAGGCGAAATGCTCAAGGAAATCCTGCAGCGCTTCGAAGACAAACTGGCTTGTCTCCAGAATCCCCAGACCCCGGATGCAAATTGCTCTTTCCTGGGCCCGCTGAAGTTTTATGCGTATTCCTCGGTAGGTTCTGTGTTTATGCAAATTTCTAGAATTTTTTAGCATGACACGACGGTCTGCAGCGTCTTGGCGTCATTAGGCAGTTATCCGGCAATACCAGGTAAAGATTAGAATCTATTCACGGAGCAAAAAATGTGAAAATCGACCTCTTGTATCGACTAGGTCCTGACAGCTACGAGACAGCCTAAAATACGCGTCCAGGGGCACTTCTAATTATCATAGCTGTCGCGCGTTGTATGCGTAATTTGGTGCGGCGCGTAGCTGTCGGTTCCTAGTCCGTCGAAGGGGTCGAATCAAACATTTCCTAGGTCCTTTAAGCGGAGTATTTTAGGGCACTACACCCATTACACAATTTGTGTGGTCCTGGAGCTGTGGATGCGAGACGGAATACCGTATATCAAGGTAAGTAGTTCGGCTAACTACTGCCATTTTGATGCCGCTTTTTGAACGCCATGAGAGTAGCCAAAACAGTTCAAATTTGACTCCATCACTTTCCATTTCCCGCTGCCGATCCAGCATCAATCGCATTATGCAATCCGCTTCCATGGGATTGCAAAAAACGAAGCAGTGGAACACGAGAAACCTTTGGGAAAATGGAACGGGGTCAGGTTGAAAGGGAATCGAAATGTTTCGTCATGAAAATTCAAAAAATCGTTGAAATTTAAATGTTACAACATTTTTGAACTAAGAATTCGGGGTAAAACGTTTTAAACGGATAGAAATCTGGCTAAAATCGGTAAACGAATCTCATTTTTTTGGCTTCCCGAAATCCTTAGCAGGCCTTTTGCTTTATTAAAGTGTATAAAAAGTTTGCTGTTTAAGCACGCTTAAAATATATTGAATAAAAAGTAAGGTTTTGAATCACTCAAACGATTTTTTAGATCAAGCTCCGCCCAACTCAGTGGGGACAATTCCACATTTTCACCCAATTCACCACCGGGTGCCCGTCGGATGAATTTTGTGACTTTCAGGTATTTTTCTGCTGCAATCCGATAATTTTTGCAAAAGACAATTTTTAAATCCATCAGATTTAGACCTTCAAAAACCGGAGCCTCCCGTACTTGCCGAGAAACGTGAAGCTGGAGTGCGGCCTGGGATAAAACAACTGGAACCCTAGAGAACTTACAAATTTTGGCCTTTGAATATGGGTACAAATCGTTGTTGCCTTTATTTTTGTATTTCGTAATCTGTTATTAGAATAAAATATTGTTTTTTAAAGGTGTTTATTACTGCTAAAATTGGTCCATATTCGGCGAAGACTTTTTGTTTTATCTTCCAAATTTACATAGCGGTCTCCGGGCGCTCGGCAAGCCATTTCTTCAGGATCTCGTTGGAATACACTTTTTCCTTGTAGGCGGTAAGCTAAAAAAATCAGTCAATGCAACTTATAATCATTTCAGAATTAAAATTACAAAATCTAAAAAAATGTAAAAATATAAATTACCTTGGGATGGTCCTTGAGGTATTCGGGCTTAATATTCTGCAGGGTTACGAGATGGTCAGCCACGAGAAGATCGGCGTAGGAGAGCTCGGAACCGACCTGGAAAAACGTTGTAGCAAAAAAATTGCAATCTTCGATTTTATGCCACTTTCATCAAGTTTAATTTGGCTTAATTTGTTAATTTAATTAGCTCTGGATTAAGAAATTGTAGTTTGAAGTAAAGTATCTCTGCAAATGCAATAAAAATAGCTATTTAATGGAGTATAAAAACCGTCTTTTTTGGAGAATCTACAGACGTTGTCGCTGAATGTAAATATATGGGTTTTATTTGTACTTATAATATTGAATCAAGTGTGAATAAAGCTATACAAACGTTTCATGAAAAATTCCCACCAAAAATCCGCTCTTCGACGCGTCGAGCTTCTTCTCGATGAACCCGTAGAATTTATCGGCAGCGGGAAGGAAGACGTCTTTGTAAAGTTCTTCCTGAAAGGCATGGGATTCCAAAAAATCTAATTTCCCAATTTTCCTCTGCTAGCATGCCCCGAAAAAAGCACCTACCAAGTCTCCTTGCATTACACCCATGTTGGTGTAGTAGAATTTGCGAATCTCGTTGTAGTACTCCTTGTATTGATCGATAAGGGCATCAATTTCAGCGGCTTCGACGTTGTTTGAGCCCCAGAGGATTCCTGAAATAAAAAGACAAATTTTAAATCTGGAATTTTAATCAAACCTACCCCTTACCTTCAGTTTTTGTAGAAAATATTATTATTTCTACTGGGAAAACGCGAAAATTAAGCCATTAAGCTACCTCCAAACTCCTTGCTCAAGTAGCGGGCGATGGCTTGCGATTGGGCCAACTTGGTGCCGTCGGCAAGCTCGAGAACCGGAAGCTGGCCGAAGGGCATGGCTGAAAAAACGTTCATCCATCTCTCTCCCTCACTCCTCTCTCACTCTCTCGCCAAGATTGCTCTATTAATGCCAAACGATAAGAACACTATAACCCACTCTTCTTTGGTGAGTTCTCTCCCAACCACTCCGGGAAGGTGAAGCGCTTGTCCTCAAAGTCCTTCCCGGCCAATTTGAACAGCTGCCTGATCGGCTCGACGACGGCGCGCAGCTCGAAGTAGTACAGGGTGTAGCCCATGTTTTACCTGAACATATCGGGTTATTCATGCCTTCTTCTCATAACAAGAAAAAACTGGCAAAGCCTGAAAGGAAAAATTTTTTGAGCTAGTTCTAAATCAGAGATGGATCTTAACCTAAAAGCCCTAATCAATTATTTAGCTGTTTTCACTAGAAAAGATTAATTTGACTGGGAAAGCCTCTGAAAATCGTCGACCCACTGGGAGAATACTGAAACTACAAGAACACAAAGGCCCGGGAATTGAAGCAGAATTAATTTCGTTGACCAAAAAAGCGTCGAAGTTAGTTAAGGAACTCTTCAAAACAGAACTGAAAACGGGCAAAAACAACAAGGAAGAAGGCGTGGAAATTGAATTGGAATTTTGATGCGGAATTAACATAAAAAAATAAAGCTCTATTTAACGAAAAATAACTATATTTTTTGAATGTTTAAACACGCTACTCATAAGAGATATAAAAACGGTTAATGCGTAAAAAAAAATTCGGCTTCCGCAAATTTGAAAATCGTAAATAAATCGCCACTGTTCTCGAATAAAATATTTGTTTTAGGCTGAAACAATTTTCAGTCGTCGAGTAGTCTAGAGTGTTAAATTGAAAGCTAAAATTTATACGCGAAATTAAAGGCGTTTTTTTCAATCCTGATTCTTAGCAAAACTTTTGGAAAATTAATATAGCCCCTTTCCGAAACCAAACACCAAAACATTGGAACTCTCGGCAAGCCAGAAGAAAACAGGAAAATAAACATCTTGCATGAATGCCGCCTGGAGTCGAGGCGAAGTGGGCTTTTCAACGAGGTGACCCCAAAAAATGGCGCCTCCCCCGTTGGGACCATTTTCTGTTTACATTACGCTTTTTATCGGCCAGTCCGGGCTGACTTTGCCTTGTTTCAGAACGGAAAATTCGTAGCCAAAGATTACGGTTTTTTTGGGGCGGGATTGGGTTATCAATTTTAGGAGTCTTGAGGGTTGGACGGTCTAGTTATACCTGCTATTTTGGTCAGAATCATGATGCAACGGGTTTTAAGAGAACGGTAAACAAAATTTTCGAAGGTTTTGAGGGTGGTACGGTGCTGTAGATTGCTATTTTTGGGTTGCCGGTGATGCAATAACTCTATTTAGCAGTTTAGGTTTTTGGAAATTTACAGAAAACCGAGAGATAAGAAGACATTAAGACTACCCCAATAGGTCAGGTGAAAACTTGTCTAGTGTACCCCAATGGAGCTTTAAATATAACATTCCACCTGTTCAGCCCTTGATCAAATCAGTGGCCCGGCCTCCGCAAGGAGGTTTAAGGGAAAAACTGACAACTAATTGGCTAAAGTTGTCTTTTCCTCAGTGAAAGAGAGAGAGAGCGAGAGAGAGAGAGAGAGAGAGCGGGAGAGGGAAAAAGAGAGAGAAATGTAAAGAAAAGGCGGTAGGTAAGTAGGTAAATGGAGGCGCGTGTTTTTTAGGCTGGGGCCGTTCGCCTCGCCACTCGGTGCCCGCTTTTTGCCCTCTGAAGTGATCGAATTGCTGATCGGTTCAAGGGGGAGGGGGTCTGGCGAGATGAAGGCCAAGCATAGAAAATTTTCAAAGGGGGTGTCAGAAAACTCAAATCAGCATTGCCGACCTAAAAATCGCCTATAAATCGCGAAAGGCGATGCCTCAGTAAAACTCGGTCTCGATGGCTAGAAAGCAAGTATTTTCTCAGGTTTTCCGTGATTTTTTTTCTATTTTAAACCTCATAAGGAGCCTACAACTTTCCCAATTCCCAAAACCCGCCTTCGAAGGCTAGCAGAATCGGGGGGCAGCGAAGCGGAAAATTTGCCGTTTGGTGGCACCGCGAACGCCATGAGCTCCCTCAATTTCGAGTTTTATAGTATACAAAAAAAAAGCCGTGCGATTAGGATCAAAACACGTGTTCGCCACCCCAATCCATCGTTTTTTGTAGAGCATTCATTAATCAAAATTTGAGGGCAGGCCGAGAAGATCTTAATCTTACGTAGTCTCTGATTTTGAGAAGGCAGTCGGTGGAATCAATTTTTGTGAATACATACTTTGAATTTCGCTTGAATTTAAAACACTACCAATAAATCAAGCATTAAAAACCTCAAAAATTAACGAAAGTATACAAATGAAAACGGGAATAGATGCCCCTTAATTTGAAAAGTTCATTAAAAACAATAAAAACAAAGACATTAATGTTTTTTTTGCAGAGATGACTGGCGGAACAATCTAGACACTGAGAACAAGGAATCTGTGTAGTCTTATCAGAGCCAATGCATCGGAAAGATTACACAACCCTCGATCAGCCGCCGATCGAATAGATTTTGTTTGGTCCGGTGAGGCTCAGGGTCAGCCCCCTGGCCGACGCAATAAAAGCCGAATGGGTTTCACTTTTATTTGAATTCGAGTTTAGCGAGAATTTTACTAATTTTCTGTCTTTCTCTATCTCTCTCGCTCTCTCTCTCTCTCTCTCTCTCTCTCTCTAATATTCAGCTATTTAAAAGAAACAAGTACGGGAACCATCATATCACTCTCTCACTCTCTCCCTTTATCTCTCTTTTTCTCTCCTCTCTCTCTCTCTCTCTCTCTCTCTCTCTCTCTCTCTCCTCTCTCTCTCTATCTTGCTCTCTCTCCCTAGAAGTCCCAAAAATTGGCAAGAGAACCCTTGCCCAGCTGGCATTTTGATCTTTGTGCAGCAGGAAGAGTGTGTGCCTTTTCTGTTCCCCGAAAACTACGCTCATCACCGCCCTGACCCGTTTACCCATGTTTTTATTGATTCACGCGCCACTGGCTATCAACTATGAACTTGGACTGGTTCATATACATTCGTGTCAAATAACGCTATTTTGCGTTGTTTTTCATCCTTCTTAATAATTTTGATCACCTTTATTACACTTTTTGGACTCTAAAACTTTGCATAAAAATTCTAACTCCCTATATCTTTGAGGAACATTATTTTTCCAGTTTTTCTTGACGAATTTTCACAACTACGTTTCGTTCCAGGCTCTTGTTAAAGATACTATTAATGATCCGATTTGCCGTACCTTCTTTTTGATATCTTATCAACCTTACATACCCTCAACTCCTCACGATAAAACTTCAAATTGTCCACTTTTTCCCCTCCTCGATTATCGATATTAAGCTTTTCACTCAACCTGTACTCCTTCAGGATGTCCACCTCTCCGGGCATCTCCAAAAAAGATGCAGTGGTCCTTGCGGGTTGTGTTGGAGGATCCGTTTTGTCTTATCAGGTTTGAATAGTTTTTTATTAATAGTAAGTCAAATTTCAGTTATTCAAATACCTGCTACAAAAGTGGCGCTCTGACCCTCACGAATGGGTCCCAGTCGGCCGAATCAAGGAATTGTGGATTTATCCTATCAAATCGTGCAAAGCGATTCCGGTAAGAGCGAGAGAGAGAGAGAGAGAAAGAGAGCGAGAGAGAGAAAGAGAGCCAGAGGGTGAGATATCTTTATTTTCAGGTGTTCTCCATGTATTGCGACTATTTGTGCGGAAACAACCAGGAGC